CCAATTTTCCTCATGAGTAATTTCAGTTTACTTCCTGAATTGAAATAGAATTGACCCCAACCCTGATGTGACTAAATGGCACTACAGTATCTCATTGATTAAACATTACAGACGATGTCCATCTAATAGTTCTTAGTCCTGTAAACACTAAAAGGTTGTCCCTATCTCTCTCACTGCCATTGTTCAGGTGGTGAGACTGGGAGAGTGAGAGCACCAGTTCCTTAACAAAGGGAAAACAGTATAACACAGTAAAAACATGTGAAATCACCTCCAACCAGCCAACCAGACTGGTCAAACTCACCGCAAAGAACACAACATCCAAATCTGACCAGACCATAGTCACAGATAGAGGAGGGATTCTAACAAAGGCTAAATCTTTATTTTGATTTAAGGCCATTAGCGATACTACAGTCTATGATAATGGACATACTTTTTGCAATGGAACCCTAGTCATTCCAATTCATTTGGTCATAGCCAAGGACAGCGGTGAAGCTATCAGCATGGAACTGATGACTGGACTCATGACTAATGAGTCATCTCTGGGTTATTATGTCGGTCAAGGGCTCCTGAATCTCCAGGTCTCTGTATGAACTGCATATTACACCTATGACTCCTTCAGATTCTAGCTAGCTCAATTCTTTTAGTTGAGGATGTCCCATTTGTTAATAATCAGTTTAGCTGTATAATAACTGCCTCTTCCCGGCAAGCTGTTTCATCTGGGCGATGATGAATTGATTGATTGAATGTATTAATCAGCCAGTAGGTATATCTTTTTTTTGTTGTTGCAAGGATAACACAATAAAGTCACTTTTAAGCAGATGTAAAATAAAATAAAGATTTTGCCTTTATTCTACTGTCACAGTATTTGGGGTATTTGTCACCTTCAGCCTCAGCCTGACCCCTTGGAGTGCCCCACCCCTTTATAGGTCAAGGGGCATGGCCTGTTGTGTGGGTGTGGCAGCCCTCAGCGAATCAGCGTCGAGCTCTGCAAGGCAAGGCCAATCACATCTCTGGGCTGTGATCCAATGAGGAACAATGGAACAGAAACAGAAAGAAAAACAGAAAGACAACGGAAACTAAAATCAAACAGAACAAAAACAACACTTATGAAAATATCTAAATGTCTGTAAAATAAAAGGATGGATGGATGGATCCAGCCTCATTCCACTCTTATATAACGACTCCATCCCCAAACTTGACTGGCTATTACAGATGTAGGATCTTAATTTGATCACCGTGTTGCAGGATAACTTTGTAAAACTTGGAGTGTAAATGTATTTAAATGTATTTGAGGTTTAAACGTTTCTGAAGTTTGTAATTTCCACTATGAAATTTCAGAGTTTATTTTCCCTTACAAAAAATGAATCAACCCCTACAAAAATATTCATATAATTATAATTCGCATAATAATTCACATTTCCTGTTGCTGCAGGATTATTTTCCAGCTGTAGCAAACTGGCTCAAATTAAGACCCTACTACTGTGGTTTTACCAGAAAGATTTGTTTGATTTAGATTTTACCTTACAGCACTATGGTTACATAATCGAAGAGTATTCTGTCCTGCATTGTATTCAAATTCATATCTCCATTATTAAGAGTGGTGTACTGTAACTAAATGTTTTCTCAACAATGTAAAGCACATGATTTGATAAAAATCTATTGTTCAACTTTTGGACCAAATAGACTTGAAGCATATTGTTAGTAATGTATGGCAAAACAAAGCATGGGTCCAGTAAGTGATTCTGTCTTCTCATAGTAATTCTCCTGTATCACATTTGCTATCCATATTTCTACAATAAAAATCAAGAAGAAGAGAGGCCAATGAAAAGATAACTCAACAGAAAGATATCAAAACACAAGAGGTATGTGGAACAGACAAACAAACACACACTCACAAACAAACACACACACACACTCAGAGTAATGCATGCTGGTCTAAAGCAATGATGGTGTCCCCCTTCTGATGGTGCCCACAGAGAGACAACATGGTTAAAACCAAACCACAGACATCACAGTGCAATGACAGAAAGTAGAGTCGCAGACAGACAGACAGACAGACAGACAGGCTGACAGACAGACAGGCAGGCAGGCTGACAGACAGGCAGATTACCCAGGATGACCCAGACTCAGTGAGGCACAGCAGCATTATAAGAGGGACTGACTGCTTGTCTGCCAGTTTGGAGGACCAAACTTACCACTGGCTGCCAGGCCAGCCTGGCCCCACCATCATTACGTCATCATCTCAGCACAAGGTCAAAGGTCACTCAGCACAAGGTCAAAGGTCACTCACAACATTCCTGGGGTAAGAGGAGGCGTCAGACTTTAAGAAGGATGAGGAGTGGGGGGTATGTCACACTTTGTGGTCACACATTGACAGCTTGGGAAGGAATTGTCGGTTCCCATACCGTACGACAATCCCGAGTGCATCTTGGGAAATGTAGGCCCCTGTACGGCCGTAGTACAGTACGACCATCATCAATGGCTCTTGGGCATGGGGTACATTGCAGTCTGTCAGCCCATAGAGGGAACACTAACTATGTGGGATACTTTAAATATATACATGTACATATAGGACTTAAATTAGATTAAGGTAGAATTTGTTCTACCAGAATCAACACTAATGGTAAGAAGTCTAGTGTTTTACATGGTATGTGTTAGGTTAGTGTTAACTTGACTACTGCAGGTCCTACTGTACATAATAAACACAATCACTGGAACAAGTTTTACATTTACTGTAGAGAAAAAAGATTGTAATTAATTAAAGTTGATTATTCTGTAGGGTAACAATGTCATTCCACTCTTATATAACGACTCAGTCTCAGTCATTATAGAGGCATAAAAATGAAGTTACTGTCCTAAAGAGAGATGGGTGTAACATGACATGCTAATTCTGACTATGGCTGATCCATCAATACAGCCTATTGAACAGTCAAACATACTGGGACAGTAAAGACCAAAACACACCATGATAACAAGCGCTTTAAAGCATCAGGTGGCCGTCATTTTCTGTTCATTTCGAGTCTACATATTGTATGGCCACCATTCGTCGACACCCATTAGGTTATTGCTGACACTCCGCGGCCACCCTCTGCTTTTGGCAGTTGGTCTTTGCGGTGTGCCTGAGCTATTACTGTACAAAGGGGGCAATAGTGTTTGATTTCAGTGTTTGAGAAATGGATGGGTCAACTATAGAATAACATATAGAATCATAGAATTACATATAGAATCATAGAATTACATATAGAAATACAGGGTCTCTATGGGGTCAACAGTCACATTCTCATACTGTTTCATCATCTCTACCTCCAGCCATTATTGGGTAGAACCATGCAGTAGAAATAGAATCACTAGAACATACACATCCTGCTTTACTTCCTGGTTCACCCATCATGGCGTCAATGACTTGAATGGGTATTCACGTTCTAGTAATTATATTTCTATGGTTAGATAGACCTCCTGTCAGAGAGAGATGGTTTGGGCTGGAACATACAGACGGTGTGTTGGAGACTGTTGAGAGGTGGTTAGTTCAAGGACAAGGTCAGAGGTCAGAACACACAGAAGAGCACTTCTTCATCTTTCCAATGACAAGGTCAGAAATAACCAAGGCCATTAGCCAAATCTGACCATCGAAGTAGGAGAGATTCCACACATTACAGATACAGTACAGTCAGGGGATTGGATCATATCTATGCAACATTACATTACTCCATGCCCCTGCTGAGGTGTCAACTTTGAATTCTGAAGGAATTTCTCAACCAGTTTTTAATGTTGTTTTTATAATTACTGTCAAAGCAACCAACCACAATTAATTATCATTCCCCTAATTTATCAATTCAATGGTCCTGAATTAATTTGGAATGTATTAATCAATTTAGAATTAAAGAAAGAAAAATAAATTCCACTGTTCCAAATACTTTCAAAGTTGTGTCACAGAAGGGACAGAGAATTACCAATAACACTGAGATATAAAATACATCCAGAACAGTAGACATACAGTAGACATACAGTAGACATACAGTAGACATACAGTAGACATACAGTAGATAGGTCAGAGACAGTAGAAAACACATACCCTGTTGTTGTTGAGCATGGCTTGAATATGCAGATCAATAATCTTGGTTATTGATTGGCCGATTCTAATTTGTACTGCTGCCTAGCTGCCAGCATTCACATTCCAATATCAATGTAATCAAATGTGAATAATTTGTCTTACATTGTTATGTCGTAAAACAATAGAATTGTTTTCTATTTGCACATGATGGGAAACAGAGTGCAATTCCTGGATTCATTGCACATGAAGGCACATTATTTCCAAACTCACAAACAGAGAATTGCCGTTCATATTCAAGCATCTCAGATTGACAAGAAACCAAGTAAACACAGAGCGAGAGAGAGAGAGAGGAGAGAGAGAGAGAGAGAGAGAGAGGAGAGAGAGAGAGAGAGAGAGAGAGAGAGAGAGAGGAGAGAGAGGAGAGAGAGAGAGAGAGAGAGAGAGAGAGAGAGAGAGAAACTGCTTCATGGAGATACAAGAGGTGAGAGACATAGATCCCCTTCAAATGGATGGATTACAACATGGTTCTAGTAGACATTTCCATGTTCTCTTGGGATATGAATATCATATGTCCCCTCACCCATGGCATAACATGAAGTTGCTGTTCATGTCCTACTCTATCCATCCTCCTCCTTTCCCAACACTACCACACCCTGTCAGACTGTAGCCTACATTAGGGATCACTGTACAGAATACCTCTATAAACAATAACTTAACACTTTGTGACTGAAAGCCCACCTTAGGCCCCATATGTGTTCTATGGACTATACAGGGCCTGTTTTACATCAAAATGTGTGTTTTTCACCGTATCTCTACATGACAGGCAGTGTTTTAGGTGCTGTATACAGACTGTACACAGTACAATGTGTTGCTTCAACAGGGTGTGGTTCAAGGTCCATAGAAATATAATTGACTAGAATGGTTAATACCCGTTCTAGGAATTCTATTTCTATGGTCCTAGCTTTCTATCCTGGCTTCCCAAAATGGCTACCAAATCTACTGTAAAGAACCAGGAAATGTTACTTACATCGACGATGAAGAAGTCGAGCCAGCACCAGGCGTTGGTGAAGTACTTGTGGAATCCGTAGGCGACCCACTTGAGCAACATCTCTAGGATGAAGATATATGTGAACACACTGTCTGCGTATTCCAAGACGGTCCTGATGGTCTTCCTCTGCTGGATGTACACATCCTCAAAAGCCTAGCGGGGGGGAGGGGGGGGAAGCACACACATGGTTAGCTCTAGCTGAATTGGGGGGGGGGGGGAATTGACATGCTCAGTGAATAATTGATTGATTGATTGATTGATTTTATTTGACAAATCTAAAATACATAGCCTAGAGTTGCCTTAGTCATGTAAGTACAACAATGAATACATCAACAATTGTCTAGGATAAGAAACACAATAAAGTCAACAGACGATGTACATTAAAAGTAATGAAAATGTATACAACAACGGTTCTGTTGCTAAATCATGACTACACAAATTACACAAAAAAAATTAAATGAGAATATTTCAAATATTTCCAGTATAAATGTAGCATTGACTGCACTATTCCCTCCCTGCTCATTTGACGTCATGTCTGAGGACATATCCCCCTTGGCAACAGAAATAGATTCCCCCCTATCCTATCTGATAAATGGTACAGTCTATTAGATCCCCTCTCTGATGAATGGTGCAGTCGATTAATTACATTTTAGTCATTTTAGCAGACGCTCTTATCCAGAGCGACTTACAGTTAGTGAGTGCATAATTTATTTTTTTCATACTGGTCCCCCGTGGGAAACAAACCCACAACCCTGGCGTTGCAAACGCCATGCTCTACCAACTGAGCTACACGGGACTAATCACAGAGAGAGTCAAGCTGAATCTCAAATGGCAGCATATTCTGTATGAAGTCCACTATAAAGGGCATAGACTGCCCTTTGGGACATAGCCTCAGTTGGCTGTGATGCTCCTGCCTGGCCCCTCCCCCCACCCTCCTCAGTACAGTGACTGGCTGTGATGCTCCTGCCTGGCCCCTCCCTCCACCCTCCTCAGTACAGTGACTGGCTGTGATGCTCCTGCCTGGCCCCTCCCCCCACCCTCCTCAGTACAGTGACTGGCTGTGATGCTCCTGCCTGGCCCCTCCCCCCACCCTCCTCAGTACAGTGACTGGGTGAAAAAGCCAACCTTCTCCACTCACACAGTGGTTGTAGCTGTGTGTGTGTGTGTGTGTGTGTGTGTGTGTGTGTGTGTGTGTGTGTTAATGTTCCACACAGTGACTTACCAGGGCCCCACTACTGAGTAGGATCATAAAGATAATGACGGTTTCGAACCAGTTATGCTCCACAATAAGATAGCATGTCTTTCTCAGGAACCACCAATATTTTCCCCACCCGTGAGTGATGGGCACGTCGCAGCAAGGATACTTGATAATACACTCTGTATAGAAGGGGACAGGCACACATAACATGATACCTCAGCCATTTGCTAGTGATTTAAATATATTGTAAGGATTACAAACTGGGCTAACTGACATGCAAGGGAAGGGTGGTGCATGGAGTGGCAGGTAGGGGACGGAGGAGCGGGGCAGGGCTGGGTGGGGCAGGGAGTGGCAGGTAGGGGACGGAGGAGCGGGGCAGGGCTGGGTGGTGCAGGGAGTGGCAGGTAGGGGACGGAGGAGCGGGGCAGGGCTGGGTGGGGCAGGGAGTGGCAGGTAGGGGACGGAGGAGCGGGGCAGGGCTGGGTGGTGCAGGTAGGGGAAGGAGGAGCGGGGCAGGGCTGGGTGGTGCAGGGAGTGGCAGGAGGAGCGGGGCAGGGCTGGGTGGGGCAGGGAGTGGCAGGTAGGGGACGGAGGAGCGGGGCAGGGCTGGGTGGTGCATGGAGTGGCAGGTAGGGGACGGAGGAGCGGGGCAGGGCTGGGTGGTGCATGGAGTGGCAGGTAGGGGACGGAGGAGCGGGGCAGGGCTGGGTGGTGCATGGAGTGGCAGGTAGGGGACGGAGGAGCGGGGCAGGGCTGGGTGGGGCAGGTAGGGGACGGAGGAGCGGGGCAGGGCTGGGTGGGGCAGGGAGGGGACGGAGGAGCGGGGCAGGGCTGGGTGGTGCAGGTAGGGGACGGAGGAGCGGGGCAGGGCTGGGTGGTGCAGGGAGTGGCAGGTAGGGGACGGAGGAGCGGGGCAGGGCTGGGTGGGGCAGGGAGCAGCAGGTAGGGGACGGAGGAGTGGGGCAGGACTGGGTGGGGCAGGGAGCAGCAGGTAGGGGACGGAGGAGTGGGGCAGGACTGGGTGGGGCAGGGAGTGGCAGGTAGGGGACGGGAGGAGCGGGGCAGGGCTGGGTGGTGCAGGGAGTGGCAGGTAGGGGACGGAGGAGCGGGGCAGGGCCGGGTGGGGCAGGGAGAGGTGGGGGGGGGGGTTAGGTGCAGTCCTACCAGGTGTCCAACAGTTTTCTGGGTCTAGGTACTCTTCCACAGCCTCCACCACCACCGCCTCCGCCTCCACGTCAGGCTTGATGTCTATGGTGCTGCCCTCCGATGAGCTGGTGTCGTCCAGCTACACACACAGACACACAGAGAGACGCAGAGAGAGAGAAAGAGACAGACAGACACACAGACAGACGCAGAGAGAGAGAAAGAGACAGACAAACACACAGACACAGACAGACGCAGAGAGAGAGGGAGAGACAGAGAGACACACAGAAACAGACAGACGCAGAGAGAACGGGAGAGAGATAGACACACATATACAGACAGACGAAGAGAGAGAGGGAGGAAGGAAGGGAGAGAGGACGTGAGAATGACAGAAAATATACATCAGCAGCAGGTTGACTGATCAATAGCCCTGGCTGCAGCAGGTTGACTGATCAATATTCCTGGCTGCAGCAGGTTGACTGATCATTGACTGATCAATGACCCTGGTTGCAGCAGGTTGACTGATAAATATCCCTGGCTGCAGCAGGTTGACTGATCAATAGCCCTGGTTGCAGCAGGTTGGCTGATCAATAGCCCTGGTTGCAGCAGGTTGACTGATCGATAGCCATGGTTGCAGCAGGTTGACTGATCAATATCTCTGGCGGCAACAGGTTGACTGAGAAATATATCTGGCTGCAGCAGGTTGACTGATAAATAGCCCTGGTTGCAGCAGGTTGACTGATCAATAGCAACGGTTGACTGATTAATAGCCCTGCTTGTAGCAGGTTGACTGATGAATAGCCCTGGTTGCAGTAGGTTGACTGATCAATAGCCTTGGTTGCAGCAGGTTGACTGATTAATAGGCCTGGCTGCACCAGGTTAAGTGATCAATATTCCTGGCTGCACCAGGTTAAGTGATCAATAGCCCTGGCTACACCAGCTTAAGTGATCAATAGCCCTGGCTGCAGCAGGTTAGGTGATCAATAGCCGTTCCGGCAGCAATGGCTCTTGGGGTATTGGTACACAGAATGAGACACACAAGAGAGAGAGACATGACCGATGGCTCAGTCTCTCTCAGCCATTCATACATACTGCTGCGTGCATTACACTGGGTCTCACTTAGGTTAGATGTCTTACTGTATAATTAGCTACCTCCCTGAGACTTCATATACAGTTCATTCAGAAAGTATTCAGACCTCTTCACTTTTTCCACATTTTGTCACGTTACAGCCTTATTCTAAAATTGATTAAATGTTGTTTTTTTCCCCTCATCAAACTACACACCATACCCCATAATGTCAAAGCAAAAATAGGTTTTTAGAAATGTTTGCAAATGTATTACAAATAAAAAACGTAAATATCAAATTTACATAAGTATTCAGACCCTTTACTCAGTACTTTGTTGAATCGCCTTTGGCAGCGATTACAGCCTTGAGTCTTCTTGGGTATGACGCTACAAGCTTGAAACACCTGTATTTGGGGAGTTTCTCCTGTTCTTCTCTGCAGATCCTCTCAAGCTCTGTCAGGTTGGATGGGGAGCGTTGCTGCACAGCTATTTTCAGGTCTCCAGAGATGTTCGATCGGGTTCAAGTCCGGGTTCTGGCTGGGCCACTCAAGGACATTCAGAGACTTGTCCCGAAGCCACTCCTGCGTTGTCTTGGCTGTGTGCTTAGGGTCGTTGTCCTGTTGGAAGGTGAACCTTCTCCCCAGTCTGAGGTCCTGAGCACTCTGGAGCAGGTTTTCATCAAGTATCTCTCTGTACTTTGCTCCGTTCATCTTTGCCTCGATCCTGACTGGTCTCCCAGTCCCTGCCACTGAAAAACATCCCCACAGCATGATGCTGCCACCACCATGCTTCAACGTAGGGATGGTGCCAGGTTTCCTCTAAACGTGACGCTTGGCATTCAGGCCAAAGAGTTCAATCTTGGTTTCATCAGACCAGAGAAACTTGTTTCTCATGGTATGAGAGTGTTTAGGTCCCTTTTGGCAAACTCCAAGTGGGTTGTCATGTGCCTTTCAATGAGGAGTGGCTTCCGTCTGGCCACTCTACCATAAAGGCCTGATTGGTGGAGTGCCGCAGAGATGGTTGTCCTTCTGGAAGGTTCTCCCATCTCCACAGAGGAACTCTAGAGCTCTATCAGAGTGACCATCGGGTTCTTGGTCACCTCCCTGACCAAGGCCCTTCTCTCCAATTGCTCAGTTTGGCCGGGTGGCCAGCTCTAGGAAGAGTCTTGGTGGTTCTAAACTTCTTCCATTTAAGAATGATGGAGGCCACTGTGTTTTTGGGGACCTTCAATGCTGCAGACATGTTTTGGTACTCTTCCCCAGATCTGTGCCACGACACAATCCTGTCTTGGAGCTCTACGGACAATTTCTTCGACCTCATGGCTTGGTTTTTGCTCTGACATGCACTGTCAACTGTGGGACCTTATATAGACAGGTGTGTGCCTTTCCAAATCATGTCCAATCAATTGAATTTACCACAGGTGGACTCCAATCAAGTTGTAGAAACATCTCAATGATGATCAATGGAAACAGGATGCACCTGAGCTCAATTTCGAGTCTCATAGCAAAGGGTCTGAATACTTATGTACATTATTATTTGCAAACATTTCTAAAACCTGTTTTCGCTTTGTCATTATGGGGTATTGTGTGTAGATTGCTGAGGATTTGTTTTTATTTAATCCATTTTAGAATAAGGCTGTAATGTAACAAAATGTGGAAAATGTCGAGGGGTCTGAATACTTTCCGAATGCACTGTAGGTATACAGAAAGACGAGGATACAGAGATTAAAGGACACAATAGAAGAAGAAGAAGAAGAAGAAGAAGAAGAAGAAGAAGAAGAAGAAGAAGAAGAAGAAGAAGAAGAAGAAGAAGAAGAAATACCCTGGGACTAACATACATCTGGTCATACACAAAATTACTTGTCTGCCCCCCATACATGCTAAGTGTGTGATCTGTCACCAGTTATAAATGCAGCCTATGCATATGACCTTGAGAAAACACAAAACCTGATTAACAGAGAACCATTGACTTGGTTGTACTTCACCTTGACTTGACATTCATTTAGAGAGCCTCCAATAAGTAACAGATGGTGGACATTGACTTAAATGCTAAACTAACAGTCAATCTAAAAGCAAATAATAAGACATAACTGTAAATATGAAAACAACAGCAGCCAACTGCAATTCCTAACATTATCATATGCCCCAGATTTAAGAGGACGGAATATAAAAAGACAAACCATCCATTCTATACTCCAAAAGAACAGCAGTCAGCAGATATCCATTTCAAACCATCCATTCTATACTCCATTCTATACTCCATACTCCTACATGTATTTACAGCCTTTTAAGAAAGAAAAAAAGAACAGCAGTCAGCAGATATATCCATTTCATCCACTGCTGTAGCCATTAGTAAATGAGTGTGTGTATACATCAGAGCCTTGGGCAGGAAACTATTGTTACACTGGTGACCACACCCATGCTTTACAGCCAGGAGACCACAACAACAATAACAACCATGGAGTTAAAGCATTACCACAACATTACAATAACATTGCCACAACATTACCAAAACATTACTACAACATAACCACAAAACTACCAAACAAAACTGCAACATTACTACAACATAACCACAACATTTGTCTACCACAACATTAACCCCATGCCACATTACTGCAACATTATTACAACATTACCACAACATAACTACAAAATAACCACAGCATTACTTACCCCCTGCAAAAATACCACAACATTACTACAACATAACCCCAACATTACCTCCTGCAACATTACCAAAACATTACTACAACATAACCCCAACATTACCTCCTGCAACATTACCACAACAATACTACAACATAACCCCAACATTACCTCCTACAACATTACCACAACATTACTACAACATAACCCTAACATTACCTCCTCCAACATTACCAAAACATTAATATAACAGAACCCCAACATTACCTCCTGCAACATTACCAAAACATAATTAACAAGAGATAAACTATGAGTGCATCTAAATTGGCACCCTATTCCTTATCGTGTACTACTTTTCATCAGAGCCATGTTGATATGACAACACATACAGTACATATTCATAAAAAATGTGGCTAACTAAATCTGTTCACTCACCTCTTTGCTGTTCTCGTTCTCCGACTCACTACTGAAGTCCTCGGTGTTGAGGTTCTCGAAGTCGGACTCTCCCACCGCGATGGGAACGCACACGGTCAGGTTAGGGTTGTGGATGAATGACATGTGGTCCTCGTCGATCAAGTACCTCCCGATGCTGTTCCCTATACCACTAGTGGTGCCGTTACCATTCTTGGTGTAGTCCAGGTCGCGGTTGATATCCACACCGCTGTGGTTGGCGATACAGTTCAGTTTCTTGTCGTACATGTCGTCTAAAGGTTTCTGTTCATCCTCCACCTGTGGTTTCTTGGTCAAGCTGAGCACCAACTCTGCCAACTTGATCTTGAACCAGGCGATCCCCTTCTTGATACGGATGACGGAGATCTGAAGGTTGTTCATCTCTCCGTCGTCGTCTGTTGCGGCTAAGTTGTCTGCGCTGAACGAGGACAGCAGCAAGGCAAGGAAAAGATTCAACACCTATAGGGAGGAGAGGAGACATGATTGGTCAGACGTGAGGGTGGGTAGCATGGGACTCTCTCTCTTGTTCTGTGGGGGTAACGTAACGAATCTGGCGTTCATAAGACAGCAAACTGCTCTCCCCAGAGACTTACGTTTCTTGGGCCAGCGGTTACAGTCACTTCCCTTGTCATGGTGACTGGGGTTTGAGAACTGTCCTACGGGGAGGCTAACATTCCCCCACCCCAACGACACACTCTGGGGACACTTACCACCAAGTTCCCGATGACCATGACCATCATGAAGACGATGAGACACATGCCCTGGTCAGCCACCTCCATGCAGTCCCACATGGTCTCGATCCACTCCCCACACAGCACCCGGAACACCATCAGGAATGAGTGGAAGAAGTCGTGCATGTGCCAGCGGGGCAGCTTACAGTCCAGGGCGATCTTACACACACAGTCCTTGTAGTTCTTGCCGAACAGCTGCATGCCAACCACGGCAAATATGAAGACGATGAGAGCTAAGACGAGGGTCAGGTTTCCCAGGGCGCCCACAGAGTTACCGATAATCTTGATCAGCATGTTGAGTGTGGGCCACGACTTGGCCAATTTAAACACTCTCAGCTGAGAGGGGGGGGGGGGGGGTGGAGGAAGAGAAGATGTGAGAATGACAGAAGAAGGGAGAGAGGAAAATACATATTATCAGGTTGAGTGATCAATAGCCCTGTTGCAGCAATGACTCTTGGGGTATTGGTATGGTAATTGCTATAGAGGTAGTAGTAGAAGTAGCAGTTGCACAGATGTAGGATCTTAATTCGATCACTCTTTTGTTGCTGAGAATTTTCATGCACAGCAGGAAATGCAAACTTGTAGTGTATTTGAGTTTTTAAAAGTCTTCTAAAATGTGTAATTTCCACTTTGAAATCAGACTTTATTTGCCCTAACAAAAAATGTAGCAACTTTTACAAAAAGGTCCATTAATTATAATTCACATAATAATTCACATTTCCTGTTACTGCAGGATTATTTTCCTGCTGTAGCAAACTGGCTGAAATTAAGACCCTACATCTGTAGTGAAAAGTAGCAGTACATAGACTAGTAAAGCAGTATATAAGTGATATTGCACATACGTAAATGTATGACTATAATAGAGACAGTGCTGTAGCTGAGCAACACTATGTAATCATTCAGTATTTGAATCAGTGCACACTGTGTATTTAATATCATTTCAGTACACAACAAACATTTATATTTTGGGGGGAGGGCGGGGCTAAAATATAATTTACCAATCGGAATGATCTGAGCACGGACAGCCCCTCCACGTCAGCCAATGCCAGCTCCACTAAGGACAGGGTCACAATGAAGCCGTCGAAGCAGTTCCACCCCTCTTGGAAGTAGTAGTAGGGATCCATGGCAACCAGCTTGGCAAACATCTCCACAGCAAATATCCCTGTGAACACCTGGCAGGGACGGAGAGAGGTCAGAGGTCAGTTAGAGTAACTGCTACTGGAACCTTTACCTTGTTAAAAGGACAAACAGAGGTCAGATGTACTGTAGGAACTCGTACTGTAATTATTCAAAAAGGGAGCAGTGAGCACTATCTTACATGGAAATTAAGATAGACCGCTAGCCCGAGGCTAGTACTTTTCAGACCGGGAACATGTGCAAAACTAGCCCCCCAGGACAGTGACATTTTGTCTTTCCAAATCTCACAGCTGCTCTGAAGTCAGTAAGGACATTGTGACACCTCTGTGTTCTGCTAATCTGATTCTAATGAATGGCTGAAGGTCATAGTTAATCTGATTCTAATTAATGGCTGAAGGTCGTAGTTAATATGATTCTAATGAATGGCTGAAGGTCATCAGTGATGTAAAATCTTAAGTAAAAATACTTGAAAGTACTACTTAAGTAGTCTTTTGGGGTATCTGTACTTTACTTTACTATTTATATTTTGGACAACTTTTACTTCACTACATTCCTAAAGAAAATAAAGTACTTTTTACTCTATACATTTTCTCTGACACCCAAAAGTACTTGTTACATTTTTTATGCTTAGCAGGACAGAAAGTGTTCCAATTCACACACTTATCAAGAGAACATCCCTGGTCATCCCTACTGCCTCTGATCTGGCGGACTCACTAAACATAAATGCTTCGTTTGTAAATGATGTCTGAGTGTTGGAGTGTGCCCCTGGCTATCCATAAATAAATAAAAATAAAAAGGAAATTGTGCCATCTGGTTTGCTTAATTTAAAGAATTTGAAATTATTCATACTTTTACTTTTGATACTTAAGTATATTTGAGCAATTACATTTACTTTTGATACCTAAGTATATTTACAACCAAATACTTTTAGAATTTTACTCAAGTAGTATTTTACTGGGTGACTTTCACTTTTACTTGAGTCATTTTCTATGAAGGTATCTTTACTTTTACTCAAGTATGACAGTTGGGTACTTTTTCCACCACTGAAGGTCATAGCTAATCTGATTCTGATGAATGGCTGAAGATCATGGTTAATCTGAGTCTAATGAATGACTGAACGTCGTAGTTAATCTGAGTCTAATAAATGATTGAAGGTCATAGTTAATCGTGGAGTCAGATAAGGTGTCCATAGATCAAGGCGTGGCAGGGCAGAGGGCTGTATCTGTGCTAGTTAGCTGTACCTGCACCAAAACTCCAGTATTTTTCCTTCATAGCTTGTTCTCTTTCTTCTTTTTAAATAGTGAGCCAATTTGTTTTCAGCACTTTTATTTCCATGACTGATCAAAACTCGTTTTCTAATGGCTCTCTCTTGTCCCTTTGCAGCAGACATTGTGAGCAATATGTTTGGAACATCGAATCACAATAAAATAACAGTATCGAATCGCAATACAAATAGAATCGTGAGAATCGTAACACATATCATATCGGCATCTAAGTATCATGATAATATCATATCGTGAGGTCCCTGGCAATTCCCAACCCTATAATACACTGTTGTGTACAACTATTTCACACATACACACACACTGCTCTAATCAAATCAGATAGTAAGTTACATATTGCATGTTATCTTCATCAGGCTGTGAAGAGCATATCTGTTTCTCACAATTTAATGAAAGTGATACATTTTTCAGCTGCTATTATTGCTCAAACCGCTGTTATAAATATCACAGCCTTACCACAAACAGAGTGACTGTCTTATACCGCTATGCTATCCATGATAACAGTATTAGCTATTAGCTTTAGCTAGCATTAGCTAGTAGGTCTAATCAAATAAACAAGCTATCCATGCTAACATGCCAGTAGAATATGATGAAATGTGCAGCTCAGGAATTGGACACCGTTTCTGTAGAAATGCTAGTTTGGGTTTTCAGAGGGAGAGAGCCGTGATTCAGGTCCCATTTTAGAGGAGCTAATCAATCAGGCAGCATAACATATGAATGTAGACCTCCTACCAGCCTGGCGTAGCAGGGAGAGTGGCCTCCTACCAGCCTGACGTAGCAGGGAGAGTGGCCTCCTACCAGCCTGGCGTAGCAGGGAGAGTGGCCTCCTACCAGCCTGGCGTAGCAGGGAGAGTGGCCTCCTACCAGCCTGACGTAGCAGGGAGAGTGGCCTCCTACCAGCCTGACGTAGCAGGGAGAGTGGCCTCCTACCAGCCTGGCATAGCAGGGAGAGTGGCCTCCTACCAGCCTGGCATAGCAGGGAGAGTGGCCTCCTACCAGCCTGACGTAGCAGGGAGAGTGGCCTCCTACCAGCCTGGCGTAGCAGGGAGAGTGGCCTCCTACCAGCCTGGCATAGCAGGGAGAGTGGTCTCCTACCAGCCTGACGTAGCAGGGAGAGTGGCCTCCTACCAGCCTGACGTAGCAGAGAGAGTGGCCTCCTACCAGCCTGACGTAGCAGGGAGAGTGGCCTCCTACCAGCCTGACGTAGCAGGGAGAGTGGCCTCCTACCAGCCTGGCGTAGCAGGGAGAGTGGCCTCCTACCAGCCTGGCAGGCAGCACAGAGACGTAGCAGGGAGAGTGAAACAGAGTGCTGTCTGGACACAGCAGCATAGCGGAATCACGGGATAGGAGAGAGAAAGAGGGAGAGACGCCCCTCTACAGACCAGTCGCATGTAAGAAATGGGGAGCTCGATGAGGGGTAGAGCATGGCGCTTGCAACGCCAGCGTTGTTGGTTCGATTCCCACGGGGAACCAGTACGAAAAAGTATGAAAATGTATGCTCTCACTACTGTAAGTCGCTCTGGATAAGAGCGTCTGCTAAATGACTAAAATGACAAACGTAAGGAGAGAGGGGAAGAGAAGGAGAGAAGAGAGAAAGAGGGAGGGGAGTAGGGAAGAAAAGAGAAGGGGACAGACAGAGGGGAGAGGACGGAGAGAAGAAAAGAGATGGAATGAGGGTACAAGTACTGCGGGAAGACATGAGGAAGACGTGGATTGATACAGGGAAACTGTAGGGGGTCTGGGAATGTTTTCATTTGGTTTTGAATAGCCAATAAAATAACTGCCTATAATGTGTACAAAAATAACACAGCTCTCTCAGCAGACGACAAGATTTAATATGAGGAGATGTCATTGTCAACGAACAACCACAAGGACGAGATAACGATCAAATAACAGATTCTGTTCTTTTTTTTTAAAGAATACAATATCAATGGAGTTATGATGGATGTGCAACGTAAACGATAGTGTGAGAGAAAGAGGGAGAGAGAGAGAGAGAGAGAGAGAGAGAGAGAGAGAGAGAGAGAGAGAGAGAGAGAGAGAGAGAGAGAGGAGAAGAGGGAAGAGAGAGAGAAGAGAGAGAGAGAGAGAGAGAGAGAGAGAGAGAGAGAGAGAGGAGAGAGCCAGCAGATAGTTTCGCTTTCTTTTTCTCTCGTCTCTCTATCTTTCTTCTCTCTCTCTCTCCTCTTCCTCTCTCTCTCTCTCTCCTCTCTCTGCTCTCTCTCTCTCCTCTCTCTTTCTCTCTCTCTCTCTCTCGCTCCTCTCTCTCTCTCTCTCTCTGCTCTCTCTGTTCTCTCTCTCGCTCTCTCTCTCCTCTCTCTCTCTCTCTCCTTCGACCCTCTTAGAAGAGAGATTGGCCTGGAGTGGTCTAGCTAGCGCTTAGTCCACACGCATATATATCACACCCCTTCAAATTAGTGGATTCAGCTATTTCAGCCACACACGTTGCTGACAGGTGTATAAAATCGAGCACACTGCCATGCAATCTCCATAGACAAACACTGGCAGTAGAATGGCCGGTACTGAAGAGCTCATTGACTTTCAACGTGGCATCGTCATAGGATGCCACCTTTCCAATAAGTCTGTTTGTCAAATTTCTGCCCTGCTAGAGCTGCCCCGGTCAACTGTAAGTGCTGTTATTGTGAAGTGGAAACGTCTAGGAGGAACAACGGCTCAGCCGCGAAGTGGTAGGCCGCACAAGCTCACAGAACGGGACCGACATGCGCTAAATCGTCTGTCCTCGGTTGCATCACTCACTACCTCTGGAATCAACGTCAGCACAAGAGCTGTTCGTCGGGAGCTTCATGAAATGGGTTTCCATGACCGAGCAGCCTTACAAAGCTCGACGCCATTGGACTCTGGAGCAGTGAAAATGCGTTCTCTGTATTGATGAATCACACTTCACCATCTGGCAGTCCCACGGACGAATCTGGGTTTAGCGGATGCCAGGAGAACGCTACCTGCCCCAATGCATAGTGCCAACTGTAACGTTTGGTGGAGGAGGAATAATGGTCTGGGGCTGTTTTTCATAGTTCCAGTGAAGGTAAATCTTAACACTACAGTATACAATGACATTCTAGACGATTCTGTGCTTCCAACTTTGCTCTTCCCTGTTTCAGCATGGCAATGCCCCCGTGCACAAAGCAAGGTGCATACTGAAATGGTTTGTCGAGATCGGTGTGGAAGAACTTGACTGGCCTGCACAGAGCCCTGACCTCAATCCCTTCGAACACCTTTGGGATGAATTGGAACGCCGACTGCGAGCCAGTTCTAATCACCCAACACTAGTTCTAATCAACCTCACTAATGCTCTTGTGGCTGAATGGAATCAAGTCCCCACAGCAATGTTCCAACATCTAGTGGAAAGCATTCCCAGAAGAGTGGAGGCTGTTATAGCAGCAAAGGGGCGACCAACTCCATATTAATGCCCATGATTTTGGAATGAGATGTTTGACGAACAGGTGTCCACATACTTTTGGCCATGTAGTGTATCTGTCCCACTACCAATTTGGCACATACTCTCCTACAGTCCTTCCTGTCCCCTGGCCTCTACGCTTCCACATACTTTCTTAGTTAACCTTTTACTGCAGTGGGCTAAATCAGGGTCACACAGAGTGTTACTTGGTAGTCTTAAACAAATCTACTTTGTAACAAAGTATACACCTCACACACATGGTTATAGGCTTTTAAAAAAAGAAGACACCTGTACTATGTCAGATATAGAGTTGAAATGCATTACATTTAGAGTTTGCAACCCAATATTACACGTTATATACATCACAGAAGACTGAAATATAACAAAACTGTTTGACATAGAAACACCAGATTTTCGGCTGTTTAAAAAAAGAAATGTTTTGATTAATTATGATATTATGAAAAATATTAATAACATTCCGCCAATGAGGCCACTCGTCATTTGTCGAATGGGGTTTTAATACTATACAAATACCAGGTTAGTCCCAGCTCAAAGTACCAGCTTAAAGTACCTTTTAAAGGGGCACTGCACCACTTTTTAAGGTTAAAAAGTGGTGAAGTGCCCTGTAAGTACCAGCTTAAAACAACTGTAAAATTAAAGCGATTGCAGTAATACCACACAAAAAAGAGATAGTGAAATCCTCACCAGGTTTCCCACGGACAGCACCTCCTCAAAGTGCGGGGTCATGGGGTAGTGCTCCATTGCCATGAAGAGGGTGTTGAGGACGATACAGATGGTGATGGCCAGGTCCACGAAGGGGTCCATGACGATCAGGTTGACGATCTCTTTGATTTTCAACCAGATGGGACAACACTCCCAGATGAGGAAGATGTTGGAGAACTTATACCAGCACGGTGGACAACTACGCTGGGACTCCTCCAGTTCTGAGAAAATTGTTTAAGAGACCCGCCAGGAAAGGAATATATCAAAAATCTAAACAATAGAAAAGTCCCCAACAGTGCAAACCCCCACCAACGTGCCACTCCAGGCAGGCTAAAGGAAAAGTATTTGAAAGAAAGCAAATCGTTTTTGAATCAAGGTCTGCTACTGATAAATGTTACGAAATAATAATACGTTCTGTATATGTAATATATAATAATATGTCTGTCATGAAGTATCTGTCAGTACAAGAATGACAAGATATACAGTGAGTGTACAAAACATTAGGAACACCTGCTCTTTCCATGACAGACTGACCAGGCAAATCCAGGTGAAAGCTATGATCCCTTATTGATGTCACATGTTAAAAAATGATTTTTAAGCATTGAGACAATCGAGACATGGATTGTGTATGTGTGCCATTCTGAGGATGAATGGACAAGACAAAAAATGTAAGTGCCTTTGACAGGGGTATTGTAGTAGGTGCCAGGCGCACCGGTTTGTGTCAAGAACTGCAACGCTGCTGGGTGTTTCACGCTCAACAGTTTTACAGTGTGTATCAAGAATGGTCCACCACTCAAAGGACATCCAGCCAACTTGACACAACTGTGGGAAGCATTGGAGTCAACATGGGCGAGCATCCCTGTGGAACGCTTGACACCTTGTAGAGTCCATGCCTCGATGAATTGAGGCTGTTCTGAGGGCAAAAGGGGGGGTGCAACTCAATATTAGGAAGGTGTTCCTAATGTTTTGTACATTCAGTGTAGCTATAGATACAGATATAGGAGATTTAGAACTGTTCGTCCAATGAGCGTGCAGGGCACCTCAGTTGGTCCCATTCGATAAAAATCGGATCTTATCTTACAGTGAGGGAAAAAAGTATTTGATCCCCTGCTGATTTTGTACGTTTGCCCACTGACAAAGAAATTATCAGTCTATAATTCTAATGGTAGGTTTATTTGAACAGTGAGAGACAGAATAACAACAACAAAATCCAGAAAAACGCATGTCAAAAATTTTATAAATTGATTTGCATTTTAATGAGGGAAATAAGTATTTGACCCCCTCTCAATCAGAAAGATTTCTGGCTCCCAGGTGTCTTTTATACAGGTAATGAGCTGAGATTAGGAGCACACTCTTAAAGGGAGTGCTCCTAATCTCAGCTTGTTACCTGTATAAAAGACACCTGTCCACAGAAGCAATCAATCAATCAGATTCCAAACTCTGTACCATGGCCAAGACCAAAGAGCTCTCCAAGGATGTCAGGGACAAGATTGTAGACCTACACAAGGCTGGAATGGGCTACAAGACCAAAATCGAGCTCTTTGGCATCAACTCAACTCGCCGTGTTTGGAGGAGGAGGAATGCTGCCTATGACCCCAAGAACACCATCCCCACCGTCAAACATGGAGGTGGAAACATTATGCTTTGGGGGTGTTTTTCTGCTAAGGGGACAGGACAACTTCAATGCATCAAAGGGACGATGGACGGGGCCATGTACCGTCAAATCTTGGGTGAGAACCTCCTTCCCTCAGCCAGGGCATTGAAAATGGGTCGTAGATGGGTATTCCAGCATGACAATGACCCAAAACACACGGCCAAGGCAACAAAGGAGTGGCTCAAGAAAAAGCACACTAAGGTCCTGGAGTGGCCTAGCCAGTCTCCAGACCTTAATCCCATAGAAAATCTGTGGAGGGAGCTGAAGGTTCGAGTTGTCAAACGTCAGCCTCGAAACCTTAATGACTTGGAGAAGATCTGCAAAGAGGAGTGGAACAAAATCCCTCCTGAGATGTGTGCAAACCTGGTGGCCACCTACAAGAAATGTAGCCTGACCTCTGTGATTGCCAACAAGGGTTTTGCCACCAAGTACTAAGTCATGTTTTGCAGAGGGGTCAAATACTTATTTCCCTCATTAAAATGCAAATAAATGTATAACATTTTTGACATGCGTTTTTCTGGATTTTTTTGTTGTTATTCTGTCTCTCACTGTTCAAATAAACCTACCATTAAAATTATAGACTGATCATGTCTTTGTCAGTGGGCAAACGTACAAAATCAGCAGGGGATCAAATACTTTTGTCCCTCACTGTATCTTAAAGCAGTGAGATAGAAATAACTGTTCCTCCAAAAAGGTAAGAGAGAATTTAGACTAAGAAAATATGCCTTTCTTCTACATCAGATTTGAAACTTGTTAGGTGTAGGGAGCTTTAAAGCATAGGGGCAGTACCCTCCGCTAGAGTGTTGGTGATGGCGCTCATGACACTGTTGGCCCGCTCTTTCCTTCCGAAGGAGGTATTGAGCTGGTCCACAGACACCATCAGGGAACCAGACAGCTTCTTCTTCACCTCAACCTCAGTAGTGGGCTGCCAGGAGGAAGAAGAAGAATCAAGCACTGATGGTAGTCAAACCATGAACACCACCGTACAGCGCCATCGCTGGCCAGGGAGGGAAGTGCACTTGTAACAAGATTGGATTGGATTGGACGGAAGGGTGGGATAAATTGTAAGTTGGTAAATTTTTGGTTGGCACACAGGGTAGTAATGTATTTGTCTTGTTATCGATGGACGCTGATGGTAGGGAGAGTATGCTGTGTCTAGAAACATGCAGGTCATTCACAGCCAGAGTGAGAGCAGTGGTATAGCAATATTTGACTATTATTGTGACCTTATTACATAATACTTGAATAACATTTGAATATTCAGAAATTGAGAAGGGAAGTGTTTTGTACGTGTGTTTATGTATTCACAGTGTTACTTACCTATTCTCTGAACCAACCATTACGTCTGAACCAACCTAAATGTCCCCCTGCCTAAATGTGCCAATTCTGCCACTATATTTTACCTTCTAATCATTATCCTGTCCTTAACGCCTCCATACTCAGTACTCCACACTATGTGATAGTACTTTTTGACCCTAGAATATCACCTTCAAGTCTTGTAAAAAATCCTGTAGCATTTGAGGAGAACGTAGAGGGAAGAGTAGTGTGGTTACCGTAGAGAACATTAGGGGCAACATTATTGGGATTGAGATCCTTCCAGTCGTCATGCATTGAGCATGCACCAAGTCAAAGAGAAGGAGAGGAGAGACACCATAGTCACTAGATTAGTTGCTATCATGCTGGCTAAGTTAGAAACACTGTACAACACCTGTAGAAGGGCCAGGTCAAACTACCATGCTGCTTACTAGCACGAGAGAAACATTGGTTTGGCTTTTTTGTTTTGTTTGGTTTGTTCACTGCGGATTGTTTGAAAAGGAAGGGACTATTTTGGCTATTTTGAAGAGGGTTTTTACTTACAATGACTGTGATATGTGGTTGTTTTTACCTACTGTATTTTAGTTGAAGGCACTGACTGTTTGTCGCCCTTAAGATAAGAGAGTTTGCTAAATTTGTAAAATGTTAAAGAAATAGTTCAAGACTTTGGCAATTAAGCCCTTTTTTATTTACCCAGAGTCAGATGAACTCGTGTATACCATTTGAATGTCCCTGTGTGCAGTTTGAAGGAAGTTGAAGGTAGTTTCTGGAGCCAATACTAACTAACGTTAGCGCAATGACTGGAAGTCTACAGGAGCAAGGGCTTAATTGCCAAAATCTCTAACTATCCCTTTAATGTCAATGTAATGTCACACTGTTTGGCGTGTGGAAATCAAAACCTTGAGATATAAAACAACAGTATGTTGGAAGTCACTGAAAAACCCAGTTATAAAGTAACAATAAGAACCTTTTTTTCTGATAAACTAAAGTTTCTCTATTTTGCTTATTTGGCTAGTGTTGGGGGGCAGCATAGCATACACTACATACTAGGAGCAGGGGAGGAGGGCGAGCGCAGATAGCGCAGACATACGGACTTGCAAAGAAGAAAGTCGAGAAGAGAGAGAGAGAATAAGAAAGTGAGGGAAGCGAGAAAGTCGAGAGAGAGAGAGAGAGAGAGAGAGTAAGAGCGAGAAGGAGGGGGCCATGCCTAGACAAGACGGGTCTGAGTTACTCATTGACTTCCTTACACTGTCGTCACCAGTTGCCTTATCTATTTTCACCTCAGGCAGAAGGCGTCCGCCGGTCCCCGGACTGATCAGAGACACCACGCCGTTGCAGTCCACCGTCGAGTTCCTCTTCCCGCCGCCGTGGTGGTAGCCCGTGTAGCTGCTCCGCCGGTACGGGCTGAACCGGGAGCCCCGTCTCTCTTCGCACTCTTCCACTGTGCTGTGCTCGTCGTCGGCAAACTCATTTTCTGAGACCACGTCTTTGCCGCGGCCCTTGAAGCTGAAGATGCTGCTCTTGCTGTTGTGCCTCGACAGAAACGGTGAGCCGGGGATACTGAGGAGGGACTGCAGGGGACAAGGAGACAAGGAGAGGAAATAAGGATAGGAGACGAGTGAGTGAATGATTGAAATGTATATAGTTGTAACACAAATCACATCATAGCGCTGAAGGTCATGGGTTCGATCTCCACAACCACCTCTGCTACTTGATATCCTCCTGCCTTTCTCTCAACGTCTATTTCTGTCTAAATGAAGCCATTTTCAGAAATGTCTGTAAATTTACATTAATTCAAAATAAAAACACATCTTGTCAAAGAGACAGTGCTATTATTTTTTCATCTTACCGTGACATTCAACAACATAGCTCAGGCAGTAGGAAGCTCTCTCATCCATGCAGATGATACAGTCTTATACTCAACTGGCCCATCCCCAGATTTTGTGTTAAACACTACAACCAAGCTTTCTTACTGTCCAACAAGCTTTCTCTGCCCTTAACCTTGTTCTGAACACCTCCAAAACAAAGGTCATGCTAGCGACTGGAACGAGCTGCAAAAAACACTCAAACTGGACAGTTTTATCTCCATCTCTTCATTCAAAGACTCAATCATGGACACTTACTGACAGTTGTGGCTGCTTCGCGTGATGTGTTGTCTCTACCTTCTTTTTTTTTTCTTAGTGGGTAGATCAGCTTTAATATTGCAGATAGATTGTAACTTCAATCAATGTAATTGTCAGCATCACTTCCATCATCTGCATCATATGTTTTATTTTCTTCTTTTTTCGCCGCATATATATATATATATATACACATACATACATACATACACGCACACACACACACACACATACATACACATACATACATATACGCATATACATACATATATACATACACATCTTTTAAAAATATATATATTTCCCTTTATTACTTTCCAACCCCACCATCCCTTCCCTAATTGGAGTAAACTAGTGAACAACAATGCTTAGGCCTCTACTTCCAGCTTATACATACTATATACATTTTATGGACACAGTCAATAATTATATTTTGTTTGTTTTTACTCCTGAACTTCCTCCGATCATTTTCATGATGTCCATCTGGTATGCTTCTACAGTATATATAAACCCCAGCTGTACTTTATCAAATGCCTTTTCGAAGTCTGCTATGAATAGTAGGCCTGTTTTCCCAGATTTTTCATAGTGTTCTATTGTTTCCAGTACTTGCCTTATATTATCTCCAATGTATCGCCCATGTAAAAAACCTGTCTGATTAGAATGAATAATGTCCAACAATACCTTTTTAATTCTATGCGTTATACATTTTGCTAGAATCTTTGCATCACAACACTGAAGTGTAAGGGGCCGCCAATTTTTGTAATGGACTGGATCTTTATATTTTCCACTTGTATCCTGTTTCAGTAATAATGAAATCAGACCTTCTTCTTGAGTGTCTGATAATCTACCATTTACATAGCAGTGGCTTAAAACATGCTAATAACGGTCCTCTGAGTATATCAAAAAAGGTTTGGTATACCTCGACTGGTATGCCATCCAACCCTGGAGTTTTCCCGGACTTAAAGTCTTTAATTGCATCCAGAAGTTCCTCCTCTGTAATTTCACCTTCACGTGAGTCTTTCTGTATGGCTGTTCATTTTACATTATCAATAGAAAAAAATATCTCTACAATTAGCTTCAGTTAGAGGAGATGGAGGCGACTGAAACAAAAACATATGCTTAAAGTACTTTGTTTCCTCCTTCAAAATATCATTTGGTGAATCATGGGTGACTCCATAATTTGTAACCAGTTTCCATAAATTATTTTTGGTAGCATTCCTATGTTGAAGATTAAAAAAGAATTTGGTGCATTTTCCCCCATATTCCATCCAGTTCGCTTTATTTTTATAATATATTACACTTGATCTTTCTTGAATAAGTTTCTCCATTGCTTTTTGTTTTTCCTCTAATTTATTCTGAGCCTCTATGTTACAGTTTTTATTGCTATCTACAGTGGGGAGAACAAGTATTTGATACACTGCCGATTTTGCAGGTTTTCCTACTTACAAAGCATGTAGAGGTCTGTAATTTTTATCATAGGTACACTTCAACTGTGAGAGACAAAATCTAAAACAAAAATTCAGAAAATCACATTGTATGATCTTTAAGTAATTAATTTGCATTTTATTGCATGACATAAGTATTTGATACATCAGAAAAGCAGAACTTCATATTTGGTACAGAAACCTTTGTTTGCAATTACAGAGATCATACGTTTCCTGTAGGTCTTGACCAGGTTTGCACACACTGCAGCAGGGATTTTGGTCCACTCCTCCATACAGACCTTCTCCAGATCCTTCAGGTTTCAGGGGCTGTCGCTGGGCAATACAGACTTTCAGCTCCCTCCAAAGATTTTCTTTTGGGTTCAGGTCTGGAGACTGGCTAGGCCACTCCAGGACCTTGAGATGCTTCTTACGGAGCCACTCCTTAGTTGCCCTGGCTGTGTGTTTCGGGTCGTTGTCATGCTGGAAGACCCAGCCACGACCCATCTTCAATGCTCTTACTGAGGGAAGGAGGTTGTTGGCCAAGATCTCGCGATACATGGCCCCATCCATCCTCCCCTCAATATGGTACAGTCGTCCTGTCCCCTTTGCAGAAAAGCATCCCAAAAGAATGATGTTTCCACCTCCATGCTTCACGGTTGGGATGGTGTTCTTGGGGTTGTACTCATCCTTCTTCTTCCTCCAAACACGGCGAGTGGAGTTTAGACCAAAAAGCTATATTTTTGTCTCATCAGACCACATGACCTTCTCCCATTCCTCCTCTGGATCATCCAGATGGTCATTGGCAAACTTCAGACGGGCCTGGACATGCGCTGGCTTGAGCAGGGGGACCTTGCGTGCGCTGCAGGATTTTAATCCATGACGGCGTAGTGTGTTACTAATGGTTTTCTTTGAGACTGTGGTCCCAGCTCTCTTCAGGTCATTGACCAGGTCCTGCCGTGTAGTACTGGGCTGATCCCTCACCTTCCTCATGATCATTGATGCCCCACGAGGTGAGATCTTGCATGGAGCCTCAGACCGAGGGTGATTGACCGTCATCTTGAACTTCTTCCATTTTCTAATAATTGCGCCAACAGTTGTTGCCTTCTCACCAAGCTGCTTGCCTATTGTCCTGTAGCCCATCCCAGCCTTGTGCAGGTCTACAATTTTACCTGATGTCCTTACACAGCTCTCTGGTCTTGGCCATTGTGGAGAGGTTGGAGTCTGTTTGATTGAGTGTGTGGACAGGTGTCTTTTATACAGGTAACGAGTTCAAACAGGTGCAGTTAATACAGGTAATGAGTGGAGAACAGGAGGGCTTCTTAAAGAAAAACTAACAGGTCTGTGAGAGCCGGAATTCTTACTGGTTGGTAGGTGATCAAATACTTATGTCATGCAATAAAATGCAAATGAATTACTTAAAAATCATACAATGTGATTTTCTGGATTTTTGTTTTAGATTCCATCTCTCATAGTTGAAGTGTACCTATGATAAAAATTACAGACCTCTACATGCTTTGTAAGTAGGAAAACCTGCAAAATCGGCAGTGTATCAAATACTTGTTCTCCCCACTGTATCTGTTCTGTTAGACCTTCTATTTCCGTTGTTAATGTGGACTCTTTTGACCTAAATTGCTTTTGTTTTCGAGATGAGTACTGAATTGCATGGCCTCTAAAGGCACATTTAAAGGTGTCCCATACAATACGGGGATTTGCTGTACCTATGTTATGTCAGAAAAAATCAGTTATAAATTCCTCTGTCCTAGTTAAAAACAAGTTATCATCCAACAGGCTTTGATTAAATTTCCAATATCCTCGCCCACATGGAAATTCAGTAAGAGTAATGTATATGCCAATTATATGATGGTCCGACCGCATTCTGTCCCCTATCAACACTTTTTTAACTTTTGGTGCCAACGAGAATGACATAAGAAAGAAGTCAAGACGACTAGCTTGATTGAGTCTCCGCCATGTATATCTAACTAGATCAGGATATTTAAGCCTCCATATATCTACTAGTTCTAATGTATCCATGACATTCATGATACAGCCCTTTGTGCTGTTGTCTGTGCCCAATAATGTTGGTACCATGTTTTGTGCTGCTGCTATGTTGTGTTGCTACCATGTTGTTGTCATGTTGTGTTGCTACCATGCTGTGTTGTCATGTGTTGCTGCCATGCTATGTTGTTGTCTTAGGTCTCTCTTTATGTAGTGTTGTGTTGTCTCTCTTGTTGTGATGTGTGTTTTGTCCTACATTTTTATTTTTAAATCCCAGCCCCCGTCCCCACAGGAGGCCTTTGCCTTTTGGTAGGCCGTCATTGTAAATAAGAATTTGTTCTTAACTGACTTGCCTAGTTAAATAAAGGTTAAATAAAAAATAAAAATAAAGAATACAAAAATAAAAGGGTCTACTGAAGAGACAGACATGATTTAGTTTGAAATATATTCCAAGGTAATTTTATTTTAGACAAATAATCATGTTATGTGGCAAAACGCTATATATCCACCCCAAACAACAGAACTGCAATACAAAAACTATCCCAATTGGGTTTTAAACAGTTACGTGTAATAAAGTATCGATACTTAAATCAACATTAAAATATTCCATTTGTTTCAACTATATTGTGTAAATAGCCGATGTATTGTATCCAGAGGGTGAACAGTGTATATACAATGTGGGTTTTCTTAGCGGCAACTTTTGGAAAACAGTTTCTGGGGGTTTAACAGGTTTTTATCTGTAGGATAAATCCAGGGAAGCTTTTTGAGTTTGATTGTATACAATTTAGGGAAGGATTTAATTAATTGCCGGTCAAGGATGGATTGATTCTTATTGTTGCAGTGGCACAGCCCTCTGACACAGCCCCCTGACACAGCCCTCTGACAAAGCCCTCTGACACAGCCCTCTGACACAGCCCTCTGACACAGCCCTCTGACACACCTCGCCCCCTCTCACACCCTCTGACACAGCCCTCTCACAGCCCTCTGACACAGCCCCTCACACCCTCCACCCTCTGACACAGCCCTCTGACACAGCCCTCTACAAGCCCTCTGACACAGCCCTCTGACACACCCTCTGACACAGCCCTCTGACACACCCTTCACCCTCTGACACAGCCCTCTCACAGCCCTCTGACACAGCCCTCTGACACAGCCCTCTGACACAGCCCTCTGACACAGCCCTCTCACACGCCCTCTGACACAGCCCTCTCACAGCCCTCTGACACAGCCCTCTGACACAGCCCTCTGACACAGCCCTCTGACACAGCCCTCTGACACAGCCTCTCACAGCCCTCTGACACAGCCCTCTCACAGCCCTCTGACACAGCCCTCTGACACAGCCCTCTGACACAGCCCTCTGACACCCTCTGACACAGCCCTCTGACACAACCCTCTGACACAGCCCTCTCACAGCCCTCTGACAGCCCTCTGACACAGCCCTCTGACAACAGCCCCTCTGACACAGCTCTGACACAGCCCTCTGACACAGCCCTCTGACACAGCCCTCTGACAACCCTCTGACACAGCCCTCTGACACAGCCCTCTGACACAGCCCTCTGACACAGCCCTCTCACAACCCTCTGACACAGCCCTCTGACACAGCCCTCTCACATCCCTCTGACACAGCCCTCTGACAGCCCTCTGACACAGCCCTCTCACAGCCCTCTGACACAGCCCTCTGACACAGCCCTCTCACAGCCCTCTCACAGCCCTCTGACACAGCCCTCTGACACAGCCCTCTCACAGCCCTCTGACACAGCCCTCTGACACAGCCCTCTCACAGCCCTCTGACACAGCCCTCTCACAGCCCTCTGACACAGCCCTCTGACACAGCCCTCTGACACAGCCCTCTCACAGCCCTCTGACACAGCCCTCTGACACAGCCCTCTGACACAGCCCTCTGACACAGCCCTCTCACAGCCCTCTGACACAGCCCTCTGACACAGCCCTCTGACACAGCCCTCAGCCCTCCGTAGGTTTGCAGCCAGTAGTCTATTATTGTTTCCCGTTGCTGAATCTTGGCTCTCTCCTTTTCATGAGCTTGTTTAAAAAGTTGAATCTTTCGGCTAACAGGAACTGATATCACAGGCTCCAAACTGTTGAAGGGATCCATAATAATCGAAAGGTCCACGACACTCAAGAGCTCAAAGCTAACGTAATGCTAGGTAGTCAGCGCGCGCACAGCCGAGAGTGACAGCTGTCCATCTCCGCATCTGGCTGACTAAGCCAGGGGTTAGCCTAAATGAATAAGATAAGGTTCTGATCACATTCCTAAGTGTGTAAAAAATAGTATGGGTAGCCATTTGATTAGCTGTTCAGGAGTCTTATGGCTTGTGGGTAGAAGCTGTTAAGAAGCCTTTTGGACCTAGACTTGGCGCTCCGGTACCGGCTGCCGTGAGGTAGCAGAGAGAACAGTCTATGACTAGGGTGGCTGGAGTCTTTGACCATTTTTAGGGCCTTCCTCTGACACCGCCTGGTATAGAGGTCCTGGATGGCAGGAAACTTGGATCCAGTGATGTACTGGGCAGTGTCTTGCGGTCGGAGGCCTTGCGGTCGGAGGCCGAGCAGTTGCCATACCAGGCAGTGATGCAACCAGTCAGGATGCTCTCGATGGTGCAGCTGTATAACTTTTTGAGGATCTGAGGACCCATGCCAAATCTTTTCAGTCTCCTGAGGGGGAATAGGCTTTGTTGTGCCTTCACGACTGTCTTGGTGTGTTTGGACCATGATAGTTTGTTGGTAACGTGGACACCAAGGAGCTTGAAGCTCTCAACCTGCTCCACTACAGCCCCGTCGATGAGAATGGGGGTGTGCTCAGTCCTCCTTTTCCTGTAGTCCACAATCATCTCCTTTGTCTTGATCACGTTGAGGGAGAGGTTGTTATCCTGGCACCACACTGCCAGGTCTCTGACCTCCTCCCTATAGGCTGTCTCGTCGTTGTTGGTGATCAGGCCTACCACTGTTGTGTCATCGGCAAACGTAATGATAGTGTTGGAGTCGTGCCTGCAGTGTGTCTACTACTGTTCTCACTGTGAACCTGGACTTGTACTGTATCAATCATCTTACTACTGTTATATACGTGTTCACTCTGCTGATTTGACACGTTTATGGTCACTAGCCTGTGAGTACTCATCTGGTGAGAGGGCCTATTCTCTAGTACGGATGATAATGATGATGGTCTCTGACAAAAACCTAGTTCTAACACCAATAGAAATCACATGAATGCATCGCTTTGCGTTTAAATAACAGTTATTTTCAGGGGTTTGAATACTCATATACTATAAGCTGGAGTCCTGCCCTGTGTTGTTGAACAGTGTCACAATCGTTGAGAGACAGGTCAGACCAAGGTGCAGCGTGGTATGTGTACATATTTATTAATGAAGATAAACACTTGACAAAACAACAAAAGCAACGTAACGTGAAGTCCTATGGGCTATACTCACAACAAGCCTAACCAGGAACACAAACAAGATCCCACAACTAAGGTAGGCAACCAGGCTACTTAAGTATGATCCCCAATCAGAGACAAGGAGCGACAGCTGCCTCTGATTGGGAATCACACCCGGCCAAACATAGAAATACAAATACTAGATTCAACATAGAAATACAATAACATAGATCTCAAACTGAACTCACACCCTGACCCAACCAACAAGAGTTCTCTAGGTCAGGGCGAGACAAACAGATACAGCAGGGCCGGGACGATACCAGTATCGCAATATTTTGTCCATGGCAAAAATGAAAACATGAAGCAGACCACACTCTTTGGTCCTTTAAAAACCTGCTGTATGTAAAATATTGTGTGCTATAGCTTGGAAAATAAATAAATGTGACTCTGGATGACAACATCATGATTTTTGTTTCCAACATTAGGGCTGTTTAATTAAAGAAGTTAAATCCACTTTGTGTTTTGTTTCCTTGCCACGATGCTAATGAGTATCGCAATACTGGTATTGTCCTGCCCCTAAGTAACAGTACAATATGAAAGACCCCAGAACAAAACAACACTTTGCTCTACTGAAACATTAATGTATTCACTGTTAATAATTCAAGCCTTGGATGAATGCTACTGTATCTTTAGCTACAACAATGATTACCGCCCCTTAGCACGTCGGTAGCCATGAAGTGCTTTGAAAGGCTGGTCATGGCTCACATCAAAACCAGCATCCTGGAAACCCTAGACCCACTCCAATTCGCATACTGCCCCAACAGATCCACAGATGACGCAATCTCAATCGCACTCCACACTGCCCTTTCCTACTTGGACAAAAGGAACACCTATGTGAGAATGCTGTTCATTGACTACAGCTCAGCATTCAACACCATAGTGCCCACAAAGCTAATCACTGAGCTAAGGACCCTGGGACTAAACACCTCCCTCTGCAACTGGATCCTGGACTTCCTGACGGGCCGCCCCCAGGTGGGAAGTGTAGGCAACAACACATCTGCCACGCTGATCCTCAACACGGGGGGCCCTCAGGGGTGCGTGCTTAGTCCCCTCCTGTACTCCCTGTTCACCCACGACTGCGTGGCCAAACACGACTCCAACACCATCATTAAGTTTGCTGACGACACAACAGTGGTAGGCCTGATCACCGACAACGATGAGACAGCCTATAGGGAGGAGGTCAGAGACCTGGCAGTATGGTGCCAGGATAACAACCTCTCCCTCAATGTGAGAAAGACAAAGGAGCTGATCGTGGATTACATGAAAAGGAGGGCCGAACAGGCCCACATTAACATCGACAGGGCTGTAGTGGAGCGGGTCGAGAGTTTCAAGTTCCTTGGTGTCCACATCACCAACAAACTATCAGGGTCCAAACACACCAAAACTGTAGTGAAGAGGGCACGACAAAGCCTATTCCCCCTCAGGAGAATGAAAAGATTTGGCATGGGTCCTCAGATCCTCAAAAAGTTCTAAAGCTGCACCATCGAGAGCATCCTGACTGGTATGGTAACTACTCAGCATCTCACCGTAAGGCGCTACAGAGGGTAGTGCGTATGGCCCAGTACATCACTGGAGCCAAGCTTCCTGCCATCCAGGACCTATATACCAGGCGGTGTCAGAGGAAGGCCCAAAAAATTGTCAGACTCCAGTCACCCAAGTCATAGACTGTTCTCGCCAAGTCTAGGACCAAAAGGCTCCTTAACAGCTTCTACCCCCAAGCCATAAGACTGCTGAACAATTAATCAAATGGCCACCCGGACTATTTACATTCCCCCTCTCCTCCTCCATTTGTTTTTACACTGCTACTATCTATGCATAGTCACTTTATCCCTACCTACATGTACAAATTACCTCGACTAACCTGTACCCCCGCACATTGACTCTGTACCGGTACCCCCAGTATATAGCCTCGTTATTGTTATTTTATTGTGTAACTTTTTATTATTTTTTACCTTATTTTATTTAGTAAATATCTTGAACTGCATTGTTGGTTAAGGGCTTGTAAGTAAGGATTTCACGGTAAGGTGGCATGTGACAAATAACATTTTATTTTATTTGAACAGCAGGTTATGATGAATGCCACTGTATCTTTAGCTACAACAGCAGGTTATGATGAATGTATCTGTGGTTGAAGCCCTGTTACTCTGTGGTTGAAGCCCTGTTACTCTGTGGTTGAAGCCCTGTTACTCTGTGGTCGAAGCCCTGTTACAAAGCTCTAAATAGTCTTAATCTGAAACCAAACCCTAATGTTTAAATTTACTTAGAAGGGAACTAAAATCATTTTGAACATTGGAGTGTCAATATGTGACCTCAAATGAACTGCTGTTATTTAGTCCTATTCTGTCTTCCTCCAGGAATGCATTGCACAGTGACAAACAGTGACCTTTGACGCTGGTCCTCTCACCTGGTTCATGATGGAAGACTTGCGGCCTAGCCGGTTGTCAGGGAAATGGAAGCGGCTCCTCTTGCTGCCGTCGTCCGACTCGGACTTGATGAATTTCTCGCAGTCCCCCTTCTCCTCCCGCTGCGACTGCTCTTTCTGGCGCCACTTCTTCTTGCGGTTGCGCCGCTCCTTGGCGCTCTTGGAGCTGAGCTTGGACATCTCTGACGAGCTACAGGACAGGTTCCCCCTGCCGTCGTCATCCCCTACGTCCTCCGACACCGTGCCCGCCGACGTCGCCATGGCATTGGCCTATCGCAGACCGCCACACCGGGAGAGAGAGTGAGAAAAACACCTGTCTGTGTCCAGTCCTACTGAAGTCTAATCTATACCCTAAGCAAATACGCAATGCATTTAGCTAGCTACGCAAAAATGGCAATCCTGTGTAGTTGTATCGAGATACAAATTGCGGGGCTGCAGCTGCACTTGACTTACTTGGGGCTGTGCAAGTTTGCGTATTTGTGCTAAGCAAGTACGCAGAACAGCCATTTTGCATAGCTTGGCTTCAGAGACATGGCTGTACAGCTTATATCAGGATAAACAGGTTTAAACTAGCCATATGTGACAGACAGGGGTCCAAGCCCAGTTTGCTGTGAGCCAAAAGAGTGCATTAGCCCGCTAAGCCAAAGCCTAGGCATTGGCTCAGGAAGCCCATGCAAATCTTCAGGTCTCAGGCAAGGTTACTCACCTCCGTCACAAACACAGTGAGGTATAGGAGCACGGTAACGAACACGGCTCCACTGCTTATATTAGACACAACAGATTTAAACCAAACAGACAGTCAAGGATAGGACTGGAGTATAGTAAGCACAGGCAGTACAGTATACACAGAGCGATGATGAGAGACAGACAGACAGACAGACAGACAGACAGACAGACAGACAGACAGACAGACAGACAGACAGACAGACAGACAGACAAACAGACAGACAACCCGACCGACAGACAGACAGACAGCCCGACAGACAGACAGACAGACAGGCAGGCAGGACAGACAGACAGACAGACAGACAGACAGACAGACAGACAGACAGACAGACAGACAGACAGACAGGCAGACAGACAGACAGACAGACAGACAGACAGACAGACAGACAGACAGACAGACCGGCAGACAGACAGACAGACAGACAGACAGACAGACAGACAGACAGAAAGACACACAGACAGAAAATACAGACACACAGAACAGACAGACAGACAGAAAATACAGACACACAGAACAGTCAGACAGACAGACAGACCGGAAGACAGACAGACAGACAGACAGAATGACAGACAGACAGACCGGCAGACAGAAAATACAGACAGACAGAACAGACAGAACAGACACTGACCTGTGCGGCCTCCTGCAGAGACAGTGACAACAAAGACAAAGAAACAAACACATATACAGTGTAACAGTGTACGGTTACAATGAATTGCATCTGAAATGGCACCCGTTTCCCTCCACATAGTGCACTACCTGGTCAAAAGTAGTGCATTATACAGTGTATCAGGGAAAAGGTGCCATTTGGCAGCCACATAGACATGCTGAGACACAGAGACACTGGGATACTGACCTGTGCAGCCTCCTGCTGGTTCTTGATCTGCTCCAGCATGGCCTTGAACTCCGCCTCTTTCTGCTCAGCCTCCTCCATTGTGGCCTGGTTCTGCTCCTCATAGGCCATGGCCACCACAGCGAGGATCAGATTGACCAGGTAGAAGGACCCCACGAAGATCACCAGCACAAAGAAGATCATGTAGGTCTTCCCTGCTGCCCGCAGGGTCTGGAAGGGGAGAGAGAAGACAGCAGAGGGTCAGATACACTCCAAAAGGGTTCTTTGGCTGTCCCTATACGAGAACCCTTAGAAGAACCCTTTTTGGTTCCAAGTAGAATTATTTTTGATTCCAGGTATAACCCTTTTGGGTTCCATGTAGAACCTTCTGTAGAAATGGTTTTACATGGAACTCAAAAGGGTTCAACCTGGAACCAAAGGGGTTTTACCTGGAACCAAAAAGGGTTCTTCAAAGGGTTATCCTATGGGGACAGCCGAATAACCCTTTTAGGTTCTAGATAACACCTTTTTTTCTAAGAGTGTACACTGATATTTGACCTATAACCCCTGACCTCTAACCCGAACAATAACCCTTCCCTGCCGTCCTTAGGGTCTGGAAGAGAACAGAGAGTACAGCAGAGTCAGACACTTGTCTCCCATCCAGTCCTCCAGAAGAGGCTGTCAATTTGTTCCCCTCCTCTACCCAGATCGTGTTCATTACGATGATAACTGGGTCATATGACAGGGCCGTGAGGTTCATATTGAGGTGGGGTTAGAGGGTAGAGGTCAAAGGTTAAAGGTCAGAGGTTATGTATCAGTTACTGAGTACTGTTGAACCTATCCAGGCTGTGTAGAAGTGTAGAATCTAAATGCTGGTGGTGGTACTTTAACACTTCCCCACTTCAACACATTAAATTCCATTTAGATTTCCTTCTGCTTACCAGAGTGTGATGATGATTCTAATTCACTGTCATAGACATTATGTAGGCCGATAAACAGTGAGGTGTAGAACTGATCTGACGCTAGGAACTGATAATGGATATGCCTCAACACCAGAAGCACTTCCATGCACTGACGGCATTTTGTTAGCTAGCTAGGTTCCCAGTGTGTGTGTTAGGTTCCCAGCATGGGCACAACTTGGCGTTATTTATCAAATGGAGCCTGGACTCCCCCATATCTGCATTTTGACCTAGTCTTCTATGAACAGTGCAGTGGAAGCACACCCCAACAGCCAGCTAGCACACAAGCCCAATCATTTCAGTGGGTTGCTATCCCCAGCGGAGAGACCATGAGACTCAAGCAGAGAAAGGAAAACAGGAGCCAAGCTCTAAATAAAACAACCACTCTGATTCAGAATGCTATTTGGAATTCCATCATTCCATGTATACATAACATGATTGTGACATGTAATACATTTGTATGTGTTGAATGAGTAGACATTTCTCTCAGTTATATTCATATTTCACACAGGGGATTGTCACAAGCCCAGCGCAGGCTGTAGCTACAGTAACGCGGCTAAATTTAGACTTATAAATATCTGGCCATCTGGATTGACGAAAAGCTATCTTTCAAAAAGCATGTTGATGCATTAGTTAGGAAATTAAGACTTTTATAGCAATAGGTCGTGCCTTTCATTAAATAGCAGAAAACAAATAATTCAGTCGACATTCATACCGGTTATAGACTATGGCGATATTGTCTATATAAATGCAGCTGCCACTGTATTGACTATGGGGATATTGTCTATATAAATGCAGCTGCCACTGTATTGACTATGGCGATATTGTCTATATAAATGCAGCTGCCACTGTATTGACTATGGGGATATTGTCTATATAAATGCAGCTGCCACTGTATTGACTATGGGGATATCGTCTATATAAATGCAGCTGCCACTGTATTGACTATGGGGATATTGTCTATATAAATGCAGCTGCCACTGTATTGACTATGGGGATATTGTCTATCTGAAAGCTGCTGCCACTGTATTGACTATGGGGATATTGTCTATATAAATGCAGCTGCCACTGTATTGACTATGGGGATATTGTCTATATAAATGCAGCTGCCACTGTATTGACTATGGGGATATTGTCTATATAAATGCAGCTGCCACTGTATTGACTATGGGGATATTGTCTATATGAAAGCTGCTGCTACTGTATTGACTATGGGGGTATTGACTATGGGGATATCGTCTATATAAATGCAGCTGCCACTGTATTGACTATGGGGATATTGTCTATATAAATGCAGCTGCCACTGTATTGACTATGGGGATATTGTCTATCTGTAAGCTGCTGCCACTGTATTGACTATGGGGATATTGTCTATATGAAAGCTGCTGCCACTGTATGAAGCCATTGGACAGTTTATCATAGCGCACTACGCTTTATTACGGGCGATAGGTTCAGTACACATCACTGCATTCTGTATCAGAATGTAGGTTGGCCATCTTTGAAGTCACATAGATCGACGCATTGAACTATTTTTGTTTATAAAGCCCTCCTGCATAAACTTCCATCATACCTTACTTCATTATTAACCTATAGACGTACGACACCAGACCCGGTCTCAGGGATGGTTAACTCTGGAGGTCCCTTCCATCCCCACTGAGTTGGGTAAAAGCAATGCACTTTAACATTGGAGGAATTGGTGCCTCTAGGGCATTTCAGATGGTAGTTAGGGGACCTTTTTACTGAAGAATGTGTCTGTTTTTTATGATTGTGTTTTGCTTTTCGTGTATTGTTGTGTATTATAATGTGTATTTTGATGTGTATTGTGGTGCTAAACAGGGCTCATCAGGAAAAGAGACCTTGGTCTCAGCATTGACTCCCTGTCAAAATAAAGCTTACATTTGAACAAATTAAAAGGTGCTATTTCAGATGTACACTTACACTATGGTCTGCACTAGGACCCTTTAAAAGAGGGTGTATGGTCTGCACTAGGGCCCTTTAAGAGAGGGTGTATAGGGAGCAGAGTTGAGGCAGAGAGAGAGACTGAGCTGCACTTCCTAACCTCCTGCCAAATGTATGACCATATTAGAGACACATATTTCCCTCAGATTACAGCGATCCACAAAGAATTCGAAAACAAACCCAATTTTGATAAACTCCCTTATCTACTGGGTGAAAAACCACAGTGTGCCATCACAGCAGCAAGATTTGTGACCTGTTGCCACAAGAAAAGGGCAACCAGTGAAGAACAAACACCATTGTAAATACAACCCATATTTATGTTTATTTATTTTCCCATTTGTACTTTAACTATTTGCACATTGTTACAACACTGTATTTAGACATAATATGACATTTGAAATGTCTTTATTCTTTTGAAACTTCTGAGTGTAATGTTTACTGTTAATATTTATTGTTTATTTCACTTTTGTTTACTATCTACTTCACTTGCTTTGGCAATGTTAACACACGTTTCCCATGCCAATAAAGCCCTTAAATTGAAATTGAAATTGAATTGAGAGAGAGAGAGAGAGAGAGAGAGAGAGAGAGAGAGAGAGAGAGAGAGAGTGACAGAGAGGACTTCCTGGGTTCTGACAAATGCTATTCCCTCCCATGTGGTGTACACTCAGCGCTGGGAAGAATATCCAGCACACTGCGACAGTCCTCAGCAAGACAGAGTACCACAAACTGACAAGAGGACATAAACTCTACTGTCCTCCTGTTCCACACACAGACTGTACACTAAAGATTCTACACACACACACAGACAGACAGACCTTAGCATACTCTGGATACAGTGTATATGATTTACTGCAATCTTAAAACCCGCTAATGTTTGTGCAGGTAGTGTGTATGCATGCCAGCACTTCTTGAACTGCTGGGTTCAACTATCGCTTGTCTGATCTGATAGTCTGATAAAATACAATGGGAAATAATTTCTGATCATTGGCATGCCACCCTGGGCCCTCTCCAAATACTGCCACTGCACCATCAAGAACGTTCTGACCAGTTGCATCACGATCTGGTACAGGAATTGCTCCGTCCACGACCGCAAGGCCCTCCGGCAAGTGGTGAAGACGGCCCAGGACATCACTGGGACCGTGCTCCCATCCAGGACATCACTGGGACCGTGCTCCCATCCAGGACATCACTGGGACCGTGCTCCCATCCAGAACATCACTGGGACCGTGCTCCCATCCAGGACATCACTGGGACCATGCTCCCATCCAGGACATCACTGGGACCGTGCTCCCATCCAGGACATCACTGGGACCGTGCTCCCATCCAGGACATCACTGGGACCGTGCTCCCATCCAGTACATCACTGGGACCGTGCTCCCATCCAGGACATCACTGGGACCGTGCTCCCATCCAGTACATCACTGGGACCGTGCTCCCATCCAGGACATCACTGTGACCGTGCTCCCATTCAGGACATCACTGGGACCGTGCTCCCATCCAGGACATCACTGGGACCGTGCTCCCATCCAGAACATCACTGCGACCGTGCTCCCATCCAGTACATCACTGGGACCGTGCTCCCATCCAGGACATCACTGGGACCGTGCTCCCATCCAGGACATCACTGGGACCGTGCTCCCATCCAGAACATCACTGGGACCGTGCTCCCATCCAGGACATCACTGGGACCGTGCTCCCATCCAGGACATCACTGGGACCGTGCTCCCATCCAGGACATCACTGGGACCGTGCTCCCATCCAGGACATCACTGGGACCGTGCTCCCATCCAGGACATCACTGGGACCGTGCTCCCATCCAGGACATCACTGGGACCGTGCTCCCATCCAGAACATCACTGGGACCGTGCTCCCATCCAGGACATCACTGGGACCGTGCTCCCATCCAGGACATCACTGGGACCGTGCTCCCATCCAGGACATCACTGGGACCGTGCTCCCATCCAGTACATCACTGGGACTGTGCTCCCATCCAGGACATCACTGGGACCGTGCTCCCATCCAGGACATCACTGGGACCGTGCTCCCATCCAGGACATCACTGGGACCGTGCTCCCATCCAGAACATCACTGCGACCGTGCTCCCATCCAGGACATCACTGGGACCGTGCTCCCATCCAGGACATCACTGGGACCGTGCTCCCATCCAGGACATCACTGGGACCGTGCTCCCATCCAGAACATCACTGGGACCGTGCTCCCATCCAGGACATCACTGGGACCGTGCTCCCATCCAGGACATCACTGGGACCGTGCTCCCATCCAGGACATCACTGGGACCGTGCTCCCATCCAGTACATCACTGGGACCGTGCTCCCATCCAGGACATCACTGGGACCGTGCTCCCATCCAGGACATCACTGGGACCGTGCTCCCATCCAGGACATCACTGGGACCGTGCTCCCATCCAGAACATCACTGCGACCGTGCTCCCATCCAGTACATCACTGGGACTGTGCTCCCATCCAGGACATCACTGGGACCGTGCTCCCATCCAGGACATCATTGGGACCGTGCTCCCATCCAGAACATCACTGGGACCGTGCTCCCATCCAGGACATCACTGGGACCGTGCTCCCATCCAGGACATCACTGGGACCGTGCTCCCATCCAGAACATCACTGGGACCATGCTCCCATCCAGGACATCACTGGGACCGTGCTCCCATCCAGGACATCACTGGGACCATGCTCCCATCCAGGACATCACTGGGACCATGCTCCCATCCAGGACATCACTGGGACCGTGCTCCCATCCAGGACATCTACTTGAAACAGTGCCTGAGGAAGTCCCGCAGCATCATCAAGGACCACACACACCCCAGCCACGAGCTGTTCACTCCCTTACCGTCGGGCAGACAGTATCGGAGCATGAGGTCTGATACCAACAGGCTCAGAGACAGTTTCTTGTTAAAAACTCTTATTATTATTGCTAAAACTGCACAATTTAAACACTTGTCCCCCATCCCCTCCTTCCCCAATACATATGTAAATATTGTACTATAAATTGTACCTACCTGTATTATACTTATGCTAAAATGTTTATTCTACTGAGTCATTTACTTTATGTTCATATTCTTATATTTTCTTATTTCTTATTGTTGTTGCATTGTCGAGAATAACCTGAAAGTAAGCAATTTATTGGACAGCGTATACCATGTGTATCCTGAACATACGATTAATACAACTTTTGTCATATCAACATTTTTGTGCAACTGTGTAACACCTTTGAAATCTCATTGTTTTGCTTGTCCATCTGTTCATGTGAGTGTGCAGCGAAAATCTGTATGACAGTTTCTTGTGGAAAATACCAAGAAAAGCTATGGCCAAAAATAGTGCACTATATAGGGAATAGGGTGGCATTTTGTTAAAAGTCCCTATATCTCAGGTATAAGGAATTACTATATGCCCTTCCCCCCAGCTTTATCACTCTACTATACTTTAATCTATACTGTAATGGGGTGGAGGAAGTGTGTAACAGTGTAATGTACTGTAATCTATACTGTAATGGGGTGGAGGAAGTGTGTAACAGTGTAATGTACTGTAATCTATACTGTAATGGGGTGGAGGAAGTGTGTAACGGTGTAATGTACTGTCATCTATACTGTAATGGGGTGGAGGAAGTGTGTAATGTGTAATGTACTGCAATCTATACTGTAATGGGGTGGAGGAAGTGTGTGACTGTGTAATGTACTGTAATCTATACTGTAATGGGGTGGAGGAAGTGTGTAACGGTGTAATGTACTGTAATCTATACTGTAATGGGGTGGAGGAAGTGTGTAACGGTGTAATGTACTGTAATCTATACTGTAATGGGGTGGAGGAAGTGTGTAACGGTGTAATGTACTGTAATCTATACTGTAATGGGGTGGAGGAAGTGTGTAATGTGTAATGTACTGCAATCTATACTGTAATGGGGTGGAGGAAGTGTGTAACGGTGTAATGTACTGCAATCTATACTGTAATGGGGTGGAGGAAGTGTGTAACGGTGTAGTGTACTGAGCCCCAGATGTTCTGAAAGTCTAGTGACGTCCCTGACGTAAAGGTCCAATATGTCCCAAAGGAAAGCTAATCGGCCAACTGGATATGTGGACAAAGCATGTTTACATTTTGCATTTAACTCAACAGTGAAAACCAAACCAACATACCCTTTGGTAAAACAACAAGCCTGTCTCACCTGCATAGATATAAGACATCATAGATAGAGGCAATGTATATAATACGGTATGTTCTATTTCATTCTGTGCTCACCAGCATGTAGAGGTTCTCCCAGAAGTCCTGTGTCATGAGTCTGAAGAGAGCCAGGAAAGCCCATCCGAAGCTGTCGAAGCTGGTGTAGCCGTAGTTTGGATTCCTCCCAGCTTTCATGCATGTGTAGCCTTCAGGGCAGCGGCTGGGGGGAGAGGAGAGGGCCACACAACCATACAATGACACAGCAATATTTACATACAATAACAACATGGCTGCCATATGGTCAGTGCTTAATTTGTAAATCGTGAGGTGCTGGAACAAAAAGTTCTGAGGTACCAGAACGCATAAGAAGGAAAAAAAAATCCTTTATCCTTAATAAGCATTGCATGCATTTCATCGTATTTGCGTAGTGGCATTGAGCAGTTGAGTAGAGGCACATATAGAAGTTTTACACATGTGGAACATATTTAGTAGCCTAGGGTCCGAGAAAATGTGGGCCTTTTCTAAACGCATTTCATGCAATTCTACGTCATTTTACATGACTGGAGACTTTGGAAGAATCTTTTTTAATAGCGCACAAATGATCGAAATGGCAGGCTACTTTGACTCTGACAAACTGAGAATCTGAGATCAATAAAAACGACCTTGTCTTGAATCCATCAATAGCCTTGGCCTAGGTGTGTGGAGACACATATTGTAGGCTACAATATGAGGAGGAAATTATTGTCCTAAAAATGCTTTCCAGTTTCAATGACTCACCCAAAGATGCGCAGCTCACTTGCTGGTGATGGCCGATGCGCTCGTGCCAAAAGCCTATCTCTCTCTCATTCTCTCTCTCATAAAACAATATTTGGAAGTTGATCAAATAGTTTGGTAGCCTACAGCATAGTCTTCGCTTTTCAGGAGGAGTTTTCCAACCTGTGTTTTCCCTCGATTTGCTTTCCAACCTGTGTTTTCCCTCGATTGTATCTGAAATATTGCGAAAGGCCCGTTTTGTCTGCGTGCTGTTGTTCCACTAACAGATTTATGGCGCGTTCCGGACTGTGGGCTATTCCTTGTTATTAGGCTACAATCCACAGCTATTGATCCTCTGTCGCAAAATTATAGGCCTTCTCATGGTGTAGTAGGCTATTCTGAATGATTTCATTCATTTTTTAACATACAGCAGTAATTCTATAACTTTGGCAAATGCCTTTACCTTTATCAGGGGTGCTGCAGAACCCTTCGCATGGCAATGATTCTATATGGAAATAAATGATGAAGTCCAACGCTGGAGAGATGAGAGTTGCAGGCTCATGTCTATCAGAGTAGAGAGATATCATAGAAAGTGAATCTCATTCTAGTTATGTGAGACATATTACTGGCGCGCTTCTCACACAGCCACCGCCACGCGTTGGTCTCAAACATAAATTACAAAGTTGCGCAAACCATAAACTCGGGCCCGCCCAAACCAAATCAACTCTTAGAATATTAGGCCAGGGTTGAAAATCTACTTTTTCACATTACGCTTTTTTGTGGGGGCAGGAGAATTAACTAAGAGGAAACTCGAATGAACTTTGATCGCTTTTATTGTTATTATTAAAAAGTTTAAAAAAATAATTTCATGCCAGGAGAGGTACCGGATCCGGCCAAATAGGTTCCGGAACAAAACTGTCCAAAACGGAGAGGTCCGGCTCAAATTAAGCACTGCGTATAGGGTCCCCTGTAGCTCAGTTGGTAGAGCATGGCGCTTGCAACGACAGGGTTGTGGGTTCGTTTCCCACGGGGGGCCAGTATGAAAATGTATGCACTAACTGTAAGTCGCTCTGGATAAGAGCGTCTGCTAAATGACTAAAATGTAAATGTATAGTACAGTTGTCTGGTTTAATGAAGGAATAAGGGAACAGTGGGTCTGAAGAGTAGGACAGAGACAGACAGAAAGACAAGGAAACAGAGAGACAGACAGACAGACAGACAGACAGACAGACAGAGTAACTACCATAGACATTAAAACCAGTAGATAGTGATAGCGTGACATATACCTATGGAAAACTCCTGATGGCGCATAAAGCCAGAATTATTTCAATTTGAAGCTCGCCATATGGGGGTGAATGGCACTAAAGATCATGGTGAAAGTGGTCGGAAATAGCAGAGGAGGCTGGTGGGAAGAACTATAGGAGGACGGGCTTATTGTAATGGCTAGAATGGAAATGGAAAGGTATCAAACATATAAAAAATCTAATTGTATTTGTCACATGCGCAGAATACAACAGGTGTAGACCTTACAGTGAAATGCTTACTTACAAGCCCTTAACCAGCAATGCAGTTTTAAGAAAAATAAGTGTTAAGTAAACAATAGATAAGTAAAAAATAACAGCAGTAAAATAACAGTAGCGAGGCTACATACAGGGGTTACCGGTACAGAGTCAATGTGCGGGGGCACCGGCTAGTCGAGGTAATTGAGATAATATGCACATGTAGGTAGAGTTAAAGTGTCTATGCATAGATAATGAACAGAGAGTTGCAGCAGCGTAAAAGAGGGGGGAATAATGCAAATAGTCTGGGTAGCCATTAGCTGTTCAGGAGTCTTATGGCTTGGGGGTAGAAGCTGTTAAGAAGCCTTTTGGTCATAGACTTGGTGCTCCGGTACCGCTTGCCGTGCGGAAGCAGAGACTACAGTCTATGACTAGGGTGGCTGGAGTCTTTGACAATTTTTAGGGACTTCGTCTGACACCGCCTGGTATAGAGGCCCTGGATGGCAGGAAGCTTGGCCCCAGTGATGTATTGGGCCATACGCACTACCCTCTGTAGTGCCTTGCGGTCGGAGGCCGAGCCATTGCCATACCGGGCAGTGATGCAACCAGTCAGGATGCTCTCGATGGTGCAGCTGTATACCTTTTTGAGGATCTGAGGACCCATGCCAAATCTTTTCAGTCTCCTGATGGGGAATAGGCTTTGTCGTGCCCTCTTCACGACTGTCTTGGTGTGTTTGGACCATGATAGGTTGTTGGTGATGTGGACACCAAGGAACTTGAAGCTCTCAACCTGTTCCACTACAGCCCCGTCAATGAGAATGGGGGCATATCTACCCTTACCACGGGCGGCCCGTCAGGAAGTCCAGGATCCAGTTGCAGAGGGAGGTGTTTAGTCCCAGGGTCCTTAGCTTAGTGATGAGCTTTGAGGGCACTATGGTGTTGAATGCTGAGCTGTAGTCAATGAATAGCATTCTCACGTAGGTGTTCCTTTCCAGGTGAGAAAGGGCAGCGTGGAGTGCAATAGAGATTGCATCATCTGTGGATCTGTTGGGGTGGTATGCAAATTGGAGTGGGTCTAGGTTTTCTGGGATAATGGTGTTGATGTGAGCCATGACCAGCCTTTCAAAGCACTCCATGGCTACAGACGTGAGTGCTATGGGTCTGTAGTCATTTAGGTAGGTTACCTTAGTGTTCTTGGGCACAGGGACTATGGTGGTCTGCTTGAAACATGTTCGTATTACAGACTCAGTCAAGGACAGGTTGAAAATGTCAGTGAAGACACTTGCCAATTGGTCAATGCATGCTCGGAGTACATGTCCTGGTAATCCTGTTGACCTGTTTAAAGGTCTTACACACATTGGCTACAGAGAGCGTGATCACACAGTCGTCCAGAACAGCTGATGCTCTCATGCATTCTTCAGTGTTGCTTGCCTCGAAGCGAGCATAGAAGTGATTTAGCTCGTCTGGTAGGCTTGTGTTACTGGGCAGTTTGTGGCTGTGCTTCCCTTTGTAGTCTGTAATAGTTTGTAAGCCCTGCCACATCTGACGAGCGTCGGAGCCGGTGTAGTACGATTCAATCTTAGTCCTGTATTGACGCTTTGCCTGTTTGATGGTTCGTCGGAGGGCAAAGCGGGATTTATTTTAAGTTTCCGGGTTAGAGTCCCGTTCCTTAGCTCAGTGCGGATGTTGCCTGTAATCCATGACTTCTGGTTGGGGTATGTACGTACCGTCACTGTAGGGACGACGTCATCAATGCACTTATTGATGAAGCCAGTGACTGATGTGGTGTACTCCTCAATGCCATCGGAAGAATCCTGGAACATATTCCAGTCTGTGCTAGCAAAATAGTCCTGTAGCTTAGCATCTGCGTCATCTGACCACTTCTTTAATTGACCGAGTCACTGGTGCATTCTGCTTTAGTTATTGCTTGTAAGCAGGAAGGAATCAGGAGGATAAAATTATGGTCAGATTTGCCAAATGGGAGGGCGTGGGAGAGCTTATTACGCGTCTCTGTGTTTGGCGTAAAGGTGGTCTAGAGTTTGTTTTGCTCTGGTTGCACATTTAACATGCTGGTAGAATTGAGGAAAAAACTGATTTAAGTTTCCCTGCATTAAAGTCCCCGGCCACTAGGAGCGCCGCCTCTGGATGAGCTTTTTCCTGTTTGCTTATGGCCTTATACAGCCTATTGAGTGTGGTCTTAGTGCCAGCATCGGTTTGTGGTGATAAATAGACAGCTACGAAAAATATAGATGAAAACTCTCTTGGTAAATAGTGTGGTCTACAGCTTATCATGAGATACTCTACCTCAGGCGACCTTGAGACTTAATATTAGATATCGTGCACCAGCTGTTGTTTACAAATATACACAGACCGCCACCCCTTGTCTTACCGGAGGCCGTTATTCTATCTTGCCGATGCAGCGTAATGCCAGCTGTATGTTATCCATGTCGTCGTTCAGCCACGACCCGGTGAAACATAAGATATTACAGTTTTTTATGTCCCGTTGGTTGGATATTCGTGATCGTAGCTCGTCTATTTTGTTATCCAATGATTGTACGTTGGCTAATAGGACTGATGGAAGAGGCAGATTACCCATTCGCCGTTGGATCCTTACAAGGCACACCGACCTACGTCCCCGATATCTCAGTCTCTTTCTCCAGCGAATGACAGGGATTTGGGCCTTGTCGGGTGTCTGAAGTAAATCCCTCGTGTCCGACTCGTTAAAGAAAAAATCTTTGTCCAGTTCGAGGTGAGTAATCGCTGTCCTGATATCCAGAAGCTCTTTTCGGTCGTAAGAGATGGTGGCAGAAACATTATGTACAAAATAAGTTACAAATAACGTGAAAAAACACACATAATAGCACAATTGGTTAGGAGCCCGTCCTCCTATAGCTCCTCCAACCAGCCTCCTCTGGTAAATAGCAAAGGATCATGGTCGATGTAGTTGTTTTCATTCTGCCTGAGAGACACGTGCAAAGATCACGGGCCGGCCCGTGATTGGTCTGTGTCAGCACGTGGTCCTGTGTGACGACAAATGTAGTAGTCAGAATGGATCACTATTTAATGAAATATCTCGATTTGTAGCGAACTTGAAAATAATTCACTGTGGGGATCGTAATTGATCATAATAAACTAATTTTAGAGCCCAAAACGGCCGTCTAGAAAACATTTAGGGGTCGTTCTGGCAATCATAATTTACATAGACTTTCTCGGCAGACCAGGGCTTTTGGCACCGCTAGGTTGCTACGCAGTAGCCAACCAGCAGAGCTCGTGACTTCAGCTCCAGACCGGACACTGGGGGCCTGTAAGCTACTCACCCAGAATCTGAGCTGTTGCCACATAAAAGGGCATCCAATTGTCCAGGCAGGAAGTAGAAATTGGCTGGTGAAAGAAACAAACACAGAATAACATTCCCATTTCTGTATTTTGGTTGAAATGGGTTGAAACTCTGCAGCTATGTAGAGCAGTGGAGGCTGCTGAGGGGAGAACGGCTCATAATAATGGCTGGAACGGAGCTAATGGAATGGCATCAAACCATGCGTTTGATGTATTTGATACCATTCCACTGATTCCGCTCTAGCCATTACCACAAGCCCATCCTCCCCAATTAAGGTGCAACCAACCTACTGTGTTGTCGAGGGATATATGACAAACCTTCTCAGCAAATGGAAACATTTTGCTATGGTGTGCTCTTAAGAACACAACCCTGGTGTGTTTGACTGTGGCCAGGCTACTTACTGTCGTTATTGATGTATTCATTCCAGTCGAAGCCTTTGCTGCCGTTGGCCAAGTAGTTCTCGGTGGAGTTGATTGGCCAAATCACGCATTTTTGTCGTAGGTTGCCCATGAAGAGCTGTAGTCCAATCAGAGCAAAGACACTGAGACAGAAGACCGTGAGGATCATAACGTCTGACAATTTCTTCACCGATTGGATTAGAGCACCGACAATGGTCTTCAGACCTGGAGAGGGAGAAACACACACACATAGACAAACGTTTGCACAAACACACGCACAAAGGTACAAACAGACGGACGCACACACACACACACAAACCAAAGAGATGATGCAGAAGGTGTGTATACTCAAGGTATATGGGAGAGGATCTTGGGGTTCCCAGACAAGGTGACTTTGCTGCACTGTATTGCTTATCTAATAAGTCCATTATTAAATTACTGTACTGTACTATACTGTCTGTTTTACGTACATTCCTTCATCAACCAGTATTCAATTTACAGTATATTGTGTGATGGAATGGATTTTTCTGAGTATCCATTATAATACGAACATTAAACCCTAATGCCTGAGTTGGGTATTTAATCATACAATACAAATTGAAGTGTTATCAGTATAATATATAGTATGTACACTGAGTACACAAAACATTAAGAACATTCTTTCCATGACATAAGACTGACCAGGTGAATCCAGGTGAAAGCTATGATACCTTATTGATGTCACTTGTTAAATCCACTTCAATTAGTGTAGATTAAAGGGAGGAGACAGGTTAAAGAAGGATTTTTAAGCCTTGAGACAATTGAGACATGGATTGTGTATGTGTGCCATTCTGAGGGTGAATGGGCAAGACAAAATATTTAAGTGCCTTTGAACCCATGCAGAGAAGCATGAGATTGAACTTCACTCAACTTTCTACAGTTTTCCCCTTTAGTTAACACTATCAAAGTTCCGCTCAACTGTGGGAATTGTGATTGAATCATTTTTACATTAAATGTTTTAGTCATTTAGCAGATGCTCTTATCCAGAGCGACTAACAGTTAGTGAGTGCATACATTTTTCATACGCAATATTAGCCACGTTCAATGTAATATACCGAAACAAAACGAACAATGCAAGATTTAGTATGCAAAACTAATTGTGCAAGAGATTTTCTTGTAGGCAGAGTGCATTGGATTATGATTGTATTGCATTGGCAGGCACCACTCAGGCCATAACCAATCAGAGCTGCAGTAGGCCTATATGCAAATAGCCATTGCCATATATGGATCTGTGCCATTTACTTTGAACTGGACTGTGTTTACAGCATGACCGGTTGTGAGTAGATGCGCTTGTTTTGAGATCAAAGCGAGAGCTGCATGTAGCCACGTGTGCACATTTTGTTCATATCCTTTGCTAGTTAGTGAGTTATTAGCTCAGTTTTAGCTCACTTCTAGTCAACAATGGTTGCTTCCAACAAGAGCACAAAATGTGTGTGTTTCTAGACATCTTTGAAAAGTGAGTCAGGTAAAGAGATGTGCTGTATTTTGAGACTGTCTTGAATAAGCTAAGTAGCCAATAGGCAGAAGGTAGCATAATTTGTCTTGATTCCCTGTAATAATGGTATGGGAATAATAATGAATTTGATTTTGTAAAGTGGTTTCTTGCATCCTTGTATCAGTATATGTTCTTATCTATCCAGTGCAGTTGGGACAGCGGTCAGTTGTGAGTGAATGTATTCATGTCCTCTATGTTTTTAGTGTATGCAACATGATGGACTGACTAGTTTAAATGTGTGTGATGTGAGAATGTATGTGTATGTGATCCTTTTAATGGAAGGTGATGTCAAAGAAACATCCTGGATGGACAATAAAGTTTTATTCTATTCTATTAAACACAACATTTTCAGTCACCTCCTTGTCTGAAGGACAAGTAGATAAACAGGTTTTATTTTTTTCTTCTAAAAGTCTCATGGAATGTAGGCCTACATTGAACACCACACATTGGCTGCTGCTGTAGGCCTACTTGGCCACTGTTAAAACTAACTTAAAGCGGGTACAGCCTCAGTGTTCACGGTAAACGTGCACCAGGCTTATCACCGAATTTTCACAATGTTCAAGTTTGCGCTCAGCAGACGTGAAATTTGCTCAGTGTCTAAAAAATATCTAGGGAACATTGGTAGTAGGTGCCAAGTGCACCGGTTTGTGTCAAGAACTGCATCGCTGCTGGGTTTTTCATGCCTAACCGTTTCCCGTGTGTATCAAGAATGGTCCACCACCCAAAGGACATCCAGCCAACTTGGCACAACTGTGGGAATCATTTGAATCAGCATCCCTGTGGAACGCTTTCGACACAAGGGGGGGGGGGGTGTAACTCAATATTAGGAAGCTGTTCCTAATGTTTGGTATACTCAAACAAGGTAAAATTGTCTACAAAAGGTAAAACTTTGCAGTGGGCTGGAAAGCTGACATTTGATATTTGACATTTCAATAACATAAACATAGAAACTTAAAATGTATATTTAATTAGTTAAAAACAGTACAACTTCAGACAAACTTCAACAACTGAAGACATACAAAACATTTTATAATACAAATATGAACAAGAAATAGCCAAGAGCCATCCCCCTCTGTTCAGAGGTTTAGTAATGAGACACTCACTGGCTGTATACAGTTAGTTGATATGTCACTACTGAAACAGGAAGAGAACTATCAGTATCACTGGCTGTATACAGTTAATCAAAGAAAAACATGTAAATAATATATCACTATTGAACCAGGAAGAGACCTATTAGTATCTTTGCTCTACGTTGCCAGTATGGCCAGTGATGGATTACAGCTGAACTAGAGGGGGAGGACTCCAGGAAACAGAACAGTGCGAGGGCAATCCATAAGAAAGGAAGGAAGGAAGGAAGGAAGGAAGGAAGGAAGGAAGGAAGGAAGAAAGGAAGGAAGGAAGAAAGGAAGGAAGAAAGCACAGCAGCACAACAAGGGGATATATGATAAGGGGTCAGAGGTACAGGCAGGCAGGGGGTAGAAACCAACGAGGGGATATGATAAAAGGTCAGAGGCACAGGCAGGCAGGTCATTGACATGCAGGTCATTTAAACTCCAAGGCTGAACAGAAACCATTCAATGCCATCGCCACTCTGGGGCCTTTTTCTCTCTTAGGTGTCATTAGGTTAAAGCACAGACTCTTACCCCTTCTTACCCCAACCCTACTACAGCCATTCTCTAACCCCTTCTTACCCCAACCCTACTACAGCCATTCTCTAACCCCTTCTTACCCCACCCGCTACTACAGCCATTCTCTAACCCCTTCTTACCCCAACCCTACTACAGCCATTCTCTAACCCCTTCTTACCCAACCCTACTACAGCCATTCTCTAACCCCTTCTTACCCCAACCCTACTACAGCCATTCTCTAACCCCTTCTTACCCCAACCCTACTACAGCCATTCCCCTACTACAGCCATTCTCTAACCCCTTCTTACCCCAACCCTACTACAGCCATTCTCTAACCCCTTCTTACCCCAACCCTACTACAGCCAGACTCTCACCCCTTCTTGCCCCGAACCCTACAGTCTCACCCATAGCTCTTCACTAAAAAGGAATCATATTATTTTCCCTTCAGGACAGGCATCATCCTCAGGCAGAACTCAGAATGGCTGAAGCAATTGGTCCATAGAATGCAGGAGGATTCCAAACATTTCCAGAAACAGAATGTTTCTCACACACGGAACTGGAAGCGCTGAGGGGCTTCTGTCGTCCCTCTTCAGGTAGAGCAGGCTTGGCTTACACCTCTCCTTCTATAATATGGTCCCAACTTAACTTAGACCTGTAGGATGCTGACTAGTGACAGAAGAATGTACCACTAGTGAGGTGTCATGCACCTAATCGATATATCATTGAAATAATAAGAAACAATCTCTTCTATATTTTCAGTGACACTACTGAATTTATTTATTTTTATTGACTATAATCCGGACAGGGTTTACTTAGAGTAATACATTTTTCTTTTTGGCACCTCCCTGTGTTGACATCTCATGAGTTTCCCAAGGAAATGTGTCCGTCAAAATGAGAGAAACCCACAGTTTGTCTTTTCTGTGAGAAGAGCAATAACCCAGTGAGTAAAACATGTTGAAGTGACGTCATTACAACCTGAAACAGGTCATCATGATGTCATTTCATCATGATGTCATTTCATCATGATGTCATTTCATCATTATGTTATTTCATCATTATGTCATCATGATGTAATTTCAACCAGTTTTTCCCAGCTTTGCAAGCTGGGGAGAAGAACCATAGTTGACCATCCTTCATTGCTTAATTTGAGCAGGATCCGGCACCTCTCAGTTTTGGACTGTTTCATTCCGGAACTTATTTGGCTGGATCCGGTACCTCTACGTGAAATAAAAATCACTGTTTGCAAAGTAAAACTTCGAATAAAAGCGATCAGAGTTAATTCGAGTTGCCTCCTCATTAATTCTCCTGCCCCCTAAAAAAATTTAATGTGAAAACGTAGAGGGCTTATGGTTTCTGCAACATTATAGCCTATGCTTGAAACCAACGCGTGGCCGTTGCTGTGGTGAAAGAGAGAAGCACGCCTGTATCTCTCTCAGAACTAGAATGAGCTTTACTTTCTATGATCTCTCTCCCTCTCTCTGCTAGACATGAGCCTGCAACTCTCATCTCTCCAGCGTTGCACTTCATCATTTCTATCCTTATAGAATCAAGGGTGCTGGAGGAGCTGCAGCTGATTAATTGAAATAAATTTGCCAAAGTTATAGAATTACTGCTGTCTGTTCAGAAAGAAATTAAATAATTTAGAATACTACACCAAGAGTAGGCCTATAATTTAGCCACAGATGACCAATAGCTGTGAATTGCCTAGCTTTGGATTGTGTTTATGTAGCTCAATCCCAAAGCATATAGCGATGCAAAACTGTCAGTGAACAGCATGCAGCCAGGACAAGCCAATTTATCAAATACAATCGCGGGAAAACGCAGGTTGGAAAGCAAATGTCTCCTGCTTAGAAGAGAAGACTCTAATCCTACTGTAGGCTACCAAAATATTTGATCAACTTCCAAATAGGTCTATTGAGCGAACATTATTTTACAAAGTAAAACAAGAGATAGGCTTTTGGCACGAGTGCATCGGCCATCGCTGGTGAGTCAGTGAAACTGGAAAGCTTTTCTAGGACTCAAGACGAGGTCATTTTTATTGATCTCAGATTCTCAGTATCAAAGTAACCTGTTATTTCGATCATTTGTGCAGTATTAAAAAAGATTCTGCTAAAGTCTCCAAGTCATATAAAATTACGTAGAACTGAATGAAATGTGTTTGTAAAAGGTCAAATTCTTCCCAAACCCAAGTTTAAAAAAAAATCCACATGTGTGCAACTTATGTAAGCGCCTCTACTCTAATGCTCTATGCCACTACGCAAACGCCATGATATGCATGCACTGCTTTATTATAAAGGTGATTTATTTCTAATTCATTCCAGTACCTCAGAGGCCCCTAGGTCACCCCCCTCTCGCCCCTCACTTTCTGTTCCGGCACCTCCCGATTTACAACTTAAGCACTGCCATCCTTCATATATCATATCATATCCTGTATGTACTGTAGGTGCTGTATGTGCTGACTCAGTTAAAGGTTAGTGGCTCATTCAGTCACCCCATCAGCATTCTAGAACTCTCTAGAATGCCAGCAGAAAATATGTGCTCTATTTTCTGTTCAAGTCGGTCATTGTAACGAAAAGTTAACCATCAAAATGAACAAAACAACAAACGTAAACGGGCAAAACAAACGTTTTCAATGCCATTTGTCATCAGCCAAGCTTTTTAGCAGGCTAACACTGTAATGCAAGTGACTCAAAAGCATCATGCAGTATAAAATACGTCCACAAACTAGGCTTGGCAGTCTTCATCAATAGTGAATAAGTATATTCCGTTGGATGTCACTTAGAGCTATGTCAGTTCCCAACTGGGCGTCAACATACTCTACGTTTTTTCCTTAATTAATTTGCATCCTTTTGTTCGTAATAAATAATGTTAATGGATTTAGTTAATTGTACCCTCTCTTCCAAGCCAATTACCTAGTTATTTTTGGATATTAATAATTATCTCCATCTTTCGAAAACCTTGCAAGAGCCTGGAGGCTTTTTCCAATGATAAAAGTACTATGGATGAGCTATACTGTAAATGTCTCAACAGTCTTCGTCAAAGTGTACAGTACAGTGAATAAGGAAAGGTTGGTTAATTATAAGCTATTCCTTATGTTCAGCTAAAGAAAAATTAATCCCATATTTAATCAACATATATTTGACTTTGTCTCTGGTTATAATCTATTGATGTGCTATCATACTGGTGTTGTCAGTGTCCCTTTCTTTAGTGGGGCTTCTGCTTCTGCTTTTGCCTATTCATTTTACATTTTAGTCATTTAGCAGATGCTCTTATCCAGAGCGACTTACAGTTAGTGAGTGCATACATATTTCATACTGGCCCCCCCGTGGGAATCGAACCCACAACCCTGGCGTTGCAAGCGCCAATTAATAGCCATAGCAGAACCACAGCTGCCTTTAGGATGAGACTTCTACTGGGGCAGAAGAGAGAAACTTTGGAGGACCCTGGAGTAGACTGCAAAGCCTATCAAAAATGTATCAGTACCATTTTTGATAAATTTGGAGGAAAAAATAAATTCAACAAATGTTATTATTTCCAAATCTTTTTTTTTGTTGCTTAAAAATGATAATAATAATAATAGTGAGTATAAGAAAATAAAAAGGGTGTGATATAAATATCAGCCTTAGTGTTTAAACTGAATCTCACCTGGTATGACAGAGATAGTTTTCAATGCTCGGAGAACTCTGAATGTTCTCAGCGCAGAGACATTGCCCAGGTCCACAAACTCTGTTATATATCTGTAAACAGGGGAAGGACCACACACAAACAAACACCAATGACAAAACCACACGCGCAAGAGCACCACAACACCACCACCACAAACGCACCCAACCAGGAAGTAACCACGACGCCACTCACAGAGCCTGTCTACGGAGGAAAGGAAAAAGAAAAGAAAAACAGGACCCCCGACACACCGACCCCCGACCCCCATCCTGTCTTACCTGGAATTACAGAAATAGTTTTCAATGCCCTCAACACTCTGAATGTGCGCAGAGCTGAGACATTGCCTAGGTTTACAAACTCTGTTATATACCTGCAGAATCAAATCAAAGTTACAAACTGTTATTGACACACACGATACAAGACAAATGTAGTGGTTCAACAGAAACACTTCTTGAAGTTAAAGACATTCAAGGTCCACTTCGTAAAATGCTGATCTAGTTCTACGGATCATCAAAAACATGGTAGCCTATAGTTAGAGTTAGTTCTAGTTAGTTCTAGTTCTAGTTAGTTTGTCAACATGTAATGTATTACTAACTATACATCTATATCATGTCAAATCCAACATGGTAAGATGAAGCATTGATCAGAATCCTAAGGTCTCCAGCAAATTGAAAGAGAAAAATGGAGAGTGAGAGAGAGAGACAGATAAAGAGAGAGGGAGAGAAAGAGAGGGAGAGAAAGAGAGGGAGAGAACGAGAGGGAGAGAAAGAGAGATGAGAGACAGAGAAAGAGAGAGGGAGAGAAAGAGAGGGAGAGAAAGAGAGTGAGAAGAATGAGATAAGAGTATGATTCAGAGAACAGAGAGGGGACCCAGAGATGGAGAGAAAGATATGATCTAAAGACTCTTTCGCCCGAAATCCCTTCTCGACGACGTTGAGAGCTCTTTCTCTATACTCGAATCTCCCCTCAATCCATCGTTATCCCATCGCGTTATTCCCTCTCTGAAAATAGAGATGGGATGAGAAGTAGAGGCAGTAAGCAGGAACAGTCAGGAACCCTCTGAAAACACCTGATTGAACTCCCCATCAAAGAAAGAAAGAAAGAAAGAAAGAAAGAAAGAAAGAAAGAAAGAAAGAAAGAAAGAAAGAAAGAAAGAAAGAAAGAAAGAAAGAAAGAAAGAAAGAAAGAAAGAAAGAAAGAAAGAAAGAAAGAAAGGACAATCCTGGACAGTAACAATACCTTTAGACGTATTAATGCTCTATTTATCAATGATCCCACACAATAATATTACTTAATATCTCTTATAAGGATTCTGATACTTACGCCATAGAAATGACCATGAAATCCAGCCAGTTCCAGGGATCCCTTAGGAATGTAAACCCATCTATACAGAATCCTCGAGCGACGATTTTTACAAGACATTCAAACGTATAAATCCCTGTGAATGTGTACCTGGAAACATGGTCAGAATTAGCAATTTATCAAATCCAAGAAGAACAACGTTTTTATCTGTTGAAATGATGTGCTGGTAATACGCTCAGGCTTTTATCGAGGCTAGCAATACACCACTGTTAAAACCAAACTTGTGTAGGTTTAAGACATGCATAATAAATGTTTTCTAGTTTATATTATATATTTATATATTATTTACCCGTGTAGATAAATATAATAAACGAATACTTACTCTACTTGCTTGGACCACTCCGGAGGATCACTAAAAGTCATGAATATACAGTTGGTCAAAATAGTACACATAATGATCATGCTGAAAAGAGTAGGGAAATGAATTAAGGAGTCCAGAGATTCAAAGTGAAAAACAAAAAATAAATGTCATCATCCAAAACAGTTAAAGGGATACTTCGGGATTTTGGCAATGAGGCCCTTTATCTACTTCCGTCAGATGAACTTGTGGATACCATTTTTATGTCTCTGTGTAGTTTCGCGAGCCAATGCTAAATAGTGTTAGCGCAATGACTGGAAGTCTACGGGTATCTGGACAAACATAGTACGCTATAATGGTAATAGGGGGCCATTTGGGATACTGCACTATACCTTTCAAGACTAACAAGGGTTTCACCACAGGAAAAAACGATGTGGTTGTGTGAAGAAAACCCCAACGTCAGCGTTTGAGCAACCAGAGCTGCATCTCAATAGTCTGAAGTGGCTTCCTCTCCTCTGTCTTCCTTTCTTCCTCTCCTCTATGCCGAATAACCATTTTAGGTTCTAAAATAGTGTATAAAGGCAATAGGGTGCCATATACAGTCTATACTACCTAAACAGAAGCAGCAGTCATATGAACATTAGCATGCAGCACTAACAGAAGCAGCAGTCATATGAACATTAGCATGCAGCACTAACAGAAGCAGCAGTCATATGAACATTAGCATGCAGCACTAACAGAAGCAGCAGTCATATGAACATTAGCATGCAGCACTAACAGAAGCAGCAGTCATATGAACATTAGCATGCAGCACTAACAGAAGCAGCAGTCATATGAACATTAGCATGCAGCACTAACAGAAGCAGCAGAATCTTCATAAATAATCAAAACGAACAGGAAAGACTTTTGTCTCTCCTGGTAGGACACCATTTGAAAGGATATGAATGTATCAAAATTTTTATAGCTATTCGCCTGAAAATATTAAAAGGACTTATGATGTACAAGGCAGGGTTGGCACTAAAGCGGAAGATTGTCTTCCCTCTATTTAGCACTATGAATGTCTGTGGAGGGAAGAAACACAAAGAGAGAGAGAAAAAGAGAGAAAAGATAAATAAGTTATATATGGACGTAATAATTCAAGGCATGCACACCCAAAATAGCTATAGGTACAGTACATCATCCTCATGTCTCAGCTATGTGTTCACAAAATACAATTTCAGGTAAAACATTGTCAATGACATTATATGCCATAGATATTGGTCAATTACATGCACAGAAAAGTCACAATACTAGTATTCTAATCTACCAAAATACATACCGTATGTTTGAATACATTTCTAATTAAACATATTTCACAAACAACATTTCACAGCTGTAAAAATGTTAGCCATGTAAAGAAATAATCTGTCATTTTTTTGACTCTCCACTTTATCCTATATACAGGGTTTCCTGAACTCGGTCCTTGGGCCCCCATGAGTGCACGTTTAGTTTTTTTGCCCTAGCACTACACAGCTGATTCAAACAACCAACTCATCATCAAGCTTTGATGATTTGAATCACCTATGTAGTACAAGGGCAAAAACCAAAACGTGCACTCAGTGGGGGCCCCAGGACCGAGCTTGGAAAACCTTGCTATATTGGACAGACAATGCCGACATACACTGTATATGCAAACTATATGTTTAAAATACTGTACTACTACTCAACATCCTGAAAATGGTCGCCAAACAATCTCAATGCAGGGCAGGCAGCCTCTAATGTCTGGGTTTTACCCATCAGCCCCTCTCAACCAATCATTGTATTGTTTCCTTCTCTAACAGGAAATGTGCAGTGTATAGAGAAATGTCCTATGCTAATATTTCAGCTGCTGCCCTGCCTGCTGTCGATTGCTGTGGTAGATTTGAAAAGAGTGTAAAGCGTGCAGAGAGACCGATTGAGTAGGAAGGGGATGGCAAACCTCTTTCAGCAATTTGCATGAAACTTTAATGAGACTCTGTGTGCATTTGCAAAGGTGACATGTACCCTTGTGCTTTTAACAAGGCAAGGCTTCCCTGCAGTAAGTCTTGCAGAGCATAGACCGTGGACCAGTGTTTTAGCGCAAAGACAGAGAGATGAACTTGGAGAAGAGTCCCCTAAGCAAGCTGGCCCTGTGGCTCTGTTCACAAACACAAACAGACCCCACAGAGCCCAAGGACAGCAACACAATCAGACCCAACCAAATCATGAGAAAACAAAAAGAGAATTACTTGACACATAGGAAAGAATTAACAAAAAAACAGAGCAAACTAGAATGCTATTTGGCCCTAAACAGAGAGTACACAGTGGCAGAATACCTGACCACTGTGACTGACCCAAACTTAAGGACAGCTTTAACTATGTACAGACTCAGTGAGACTCTTTGAGAAAGGCCGCCATAGGCAGACCTGGCTCTCAAGAGAAGACAGGCTATGTGCACACTGCCCACAAAATGAGGTGGAAACTGAGCTGCACTTCCTGGCAAATGTATGACCATATTAGAGACACATATTTCCCTCAGATTACAGAGATCCACAAAGAATTCAAAAACAAACCCAAGAGGGCACGACAAAGCCTATTCCCCCTCAGGAGACTAAAAAGATTTGGCATGGGTCCTCAGATCCTCAAAAAATTCTACAGCTGCACCATCGAGAGCATCCTGACTGGTTGCATCACCGCCTGGTATGGCAACTGCTTGGCCTCTGACCGCAAGGCACTACAGAGGGTAGTGCGTACGGCCCAGTACATCACTGGGGCAAAGCTCCCTGCCATTCAGGACCTCTATACCAGGCGGTGTCAGAGGAAGGCCCTCAAAATTGTCAAAGACTCCAGCCACCCTAGTCATAGACTGTTCTCTCTGCTACCGCACGGCAAGCGGTACCGGAGTGCCAAGTCTAGGTCCAAAAGACTTCTCAACAGCTTCTACCCCCCAAGCCATAAGACTCCTGAACAGCTAATCATGGCTACCCGGACTATTTGCACTGCCCCCCACCCCATCCTTTTTACGCTGCTGCTACTCTGTTAAGTATTTATGCATAGTCACTTTAACTCTACCCACATGTACATATTACCTCAACTACCTCAACTAGCCAGTGCCCCCGCACATTGACTCTGCAACGGTACCCCCCTGTATATATAGCCTCCCTACTGTCACTTTATTTTACTGTATATATAGCCTCCCTACTGTCACTTTATTTTACTTCTGCTCTTTTTTTCTCAACACTTTTTTTGTTGTTGTTTTATTCTTACTTTTTTTGTTTAAAATAAATGCACTGTTGGTTAAGGGCTGTAAGTAAGCATTTCACTGTAATGTCTGCACCTGTTGTATTCGGCGCATGTGACCAATAAAATGTGATTTGATTTGATTTGATTTTGATAAACTCCCTTATCTACTGGGTGAAAAACCACAGTGTGGCATCACAGCAGCAAGATTTGTGACCTGTTGCCACAAGAAAAGAGCAACCAGTGAAGAACAAACATCATTGTAAATACAACCCATATTTATGTTTATTTATTTTTCCATTTGTACTTTAACTATTTGCACATTGTTTCAACACCGTATTAGATATAATATGACATTTGAAATGTCTTTATTCTGTTGGAACTTCTGAGTGTAATGTTAACTGTTAATATTTATTGTTAATTTCACTTTTGTTTACTATCTACTTCACTTGCTTTGGCAATGTTAACATATGTTTCCCATGCCCTTAAATTGAATTTAATTGAAAAAATGAGAGAGAGAAGCAAGTCAAGAGATATGCATACACTATTCTTGATTAGTCATAATAGCTATGTAGATATGCAGATAATATAATACTGAATGACTACTGAAGAAGGTCTAATTTACTGATAAAAAGGTTTATCGGTCCGTGCGACACATATTTCCCTCAGATTCAGAGATCCACAAAGAATTCGAAAACAAACCCAATTTTGATAAACTCCTTTATCTACTGGGTGAAAAACCACAGTGTGCCATCACAGCAGCAAGATTTGTGACCTGTTGCCACAAGAAAAGGGCAACCAGTGAAGAACAAACACCATTGTAAATACAACCCATATTTATGTTGATTTATTTTCCCATTTGTACTTTAACTATTTGCACATTGTTACAACACTGTACATATGCATAATATGACATTTGAAATGTCTTTATGCTTTTGGAACTTCTGAGTGTAATGTATACTGTTAATATTAATTGTTTATTTCACTTTTGTTTACTATCTACTTCACTTGCTTTGGCAATGTTAACATACGTTTCCCATGCCAATAAAGCCCTTAAATTGAACTTGAATTGAATTGAGAGAGAGAGAGAGAGACAGGGAGACAGACAGAGAGACAGAGAGAGAGAGAGAGAGAGAGAGAGAGAGAGAGAGAGAGAGAGAGAGAGAGAGAGAGAGAGAGAGACAGACAGACAGACAGAGAGAGAGAGACAGACAGAGAGATAGAGAGAGAGAGAGAGAGAGAAGAGAGAGACAGAGACAGACAGAGAGACAAGACGAGAGAGAGAGAGAGAGAGAGAGAGAGAGAGAGAGAGAGAGACAGACAGACAGAGAGACTTTTGACTTTATGTCTTTCTTTAATGGTACATCCTCATTTCATTAACCCCCTCCCCCCCTAAAATAAATATAAAAAAGTACCAATATCCCCTGTACTGCATACTCACCTTTCCCTCTACCCCACAATACAAAAACAACACCACACATCACAATAACCCAAACCTCACCACTTCTACAACCGTATATACAGACCATCTTTCCTAGCTATACAGACAGCCCCCCCCCAACACACCATATCTCTTGAAACATCTCCACACTTTTTATCATTTTATAGAACTCAAATTCCACCCTAAGGCGCGCAGAGACCATCCCATTAAATAATAGTAAAGGGTCTGTTATCCCCCCACCTTTGACCCTGTTCCTCCTTGTTATCCAAATAGCTAACTTTGCCTGAGCAAACAGAAAATTCAACAACACACATTTAACCTTTTCCTTATTTGAATACCTGTACCCCATTATAAACATACCAACAGTAAACTCCACCCCCAACCTCTCACACAGACATTCCAACAGAGACATTAAAGGCATTAACCTGGCGCACACAGAAAACACATGAATCACAGTTCCACTCATGACACAGAAAGGACACCCCTGTCCGACTTTCGGTTCAACCCGTGCCAACCAGCTGTTAGTGGCCAGGGCTCCATGTAGAACCCTCCACTGGAGGTCCCCTGACCTCTTTGGTACTGGGAGTTTGTAGAGCCCCCTCCATCTAAAACCCACTATACTCTCCGCCCCACATACACCCTGCCACTGATGTGCCTTCACTCCTGTTGTTCCTTACCTTAATACAGAGGTTGTAGAGGGCTTTACCTCCCACCCCTTCAAACTCCCCCAGGCTCGGAGTGTTAAAATCTAACAAGTCCTCCAGACCCCCTTGCCAGTCCCCAGTCTCTGCAGTCATGTGCAGTGGCGGAAACATTGCTGGCCCCTCCCCCTTTGGCCGCTCAAACACCCCCTTTAACGGCTCAGACAGAGCCTCCTGGACTTCCCCCAGGAGTCTCTCCAGCAGCCTAAGAGATGTTAGTCCTGTTTGTTGTGCTAGGACTTCTGGGGTTTTCCACCCCTCCTCTCCCAGCAGTCGCAGGTCACCCAGCCTTAGTAAACCAGCTGCCATCAGTCGCCTCTTCAGGGTGGCCGACTGAACCGATCTCAAAAGGATGACTGGGTTGTGGAAGATAGGCTCCTCCCACACCCACAGCCCAGGCTCCACACCCCCTTCTCGTGTGTGCCTTAGTAGCTGCCAGGCCCTCAGCACCGCAGAGTAGAAATCAGAGAGTCCTGCTGTACTCAGCCCCTCCAGCTTCATGAGGAATAGCTGCCGGTCCAACCCTAATCCGCCAGCTCAGCAGAGCGCATGCTGGCTCCCTCCATCCGACATCAGTATGGTACAGCAGTCTCTGCGCCGCCTTTAGTCGGAATGCAGCCACCCTGCTCTCCAGTTCCACCAGGCCCTGTCCTCCTTAATTTACGGACATATACAACACTTT